TTTTTTATTATTTCTACATATGCATGTATTAAGATTCATTTAATGTGCTGACTTTTACATTGAAAGCTTTATTTATACCTCTTTACAAAAAGAATGGTTAATGCAGCATATTAATTCACAATGTTTTGATTCAACTGGTGATGTTAACTGTACCTGCATTACATCGCTGTAGGAGAATGCCATAACAGAACCACTTAAAACATCTCACTCAGAAGAACGTACTGGACATCTCCATATCTGCTACCCAGCAACCCTCTCTTGATGGTGCAAACTGCGGACACTCTCAAAAGCAATTCATGACATCAAGGCAATGTGGTATTACTATTTACATAGATATCATTTCCATCTTAAAATCCACACGGCATTCTTCCTTCTCTGAAGTTCAAGTGCATTGGAATTGTTCTTCTAATACTAAGGCATCTCCTAGTCCATTTTCCTAGATTTATTGTGGATAAGCTTCCACAATCATAGCATGGCCCTAAAGAAACAAAGGAAAAAATTAGTTGTAAATATTTGACATCATTCACTAAAACACATTAGTTAAAAAGATTCCGCACCACCTTTGATGATCTATTTTGGCTGCATGTAAATATCTTTTAATAGCTCCATTTTGTGAATGTCAAGACTATAAAGCAACAGAAAATGAGTACGGAAAGAGTCAAGAGGCAAAAAATAATTCAAAGACGAAACTACCTGCCCCCCAGCAGCACAGGCTGCAACCAGGCCGTACTGCCCCCCCTCCTTCATCAGCCTGTGAGCAGCTGTCGTCACCAAGCGGCAGCCAGTTGCTCCAAACGGGTGTCCCAGGGACAGAGAGCCTCCCCATGTGTTAAACTTCTCCATAGAGGGAGCGCCAACCTATACACACAAAAGAATCATGTCTGCAATGAGCGCTTTTGTGCTTAATTTGGGCTTCATAAGCCTAGGAAACTAAAATGTTCAGTCTAACAACCAAGAGTTGTAAGTGAGTTTTAGTGGGAATAATACAAAAAGCAGGACGGCATGGTGATGCAATGGTTAGGGTTACTGCCTTGCAGAGCTAGGGCCCTGGGTTTAATTCCTGACCTGGGTGGCTATCCGCATGCAGTTAGTAATCCTGTGTTCTCACGGGTTTCTTCCAAACTCTCCAGTTTCCTCCCAGTCCAAAACATACTTGTCAGTTAACTGGCTTTTAGGAAACATGGCCTAGGTGTGAGTGTGTGACTGTGTTTGTATCTGTCTGCCCTGTGATGGACTGGTGTCTTGTATCAATCGTACCCCACTGTGTGCCCACTGCTTGCCAGGATTTGCTCCGGCTCCTTAGTAATTAAAGAGTTCCAATTTGACGCACTAAACATGTTTACATTTTTACTGGAAACTGTCTTATTGAAGTGACTCAACTATATAATTTAAGACTTTCCCTACACACTCAAAAAGCATACTTCACGAGCTTGTATCTCCAGCTTGATAGGGTCGAACTACTGACATCTTTATAAAACACACTGGAAATTTACAACACTAAATTCACAACTATAAATTGACCCACAATGCAGAATTCTATTCAGCAATACCAATCCAAGAGTATCAGTGGATTAAAATTGAACTGCATTAAAAGACAATTAAACGCAAATTAAACAGCGAAGATATCGATCAGACTATTTTCAAAATGTATTCATGTATTTCAACACCATAGATGTTAAAGGATTAAGTTCAATAGAAGCCAGTACTTGAGCTACATCATGTCCTGTTTTCACAATAAAATTTAATTTTATATTTGATGACAAAATCAAATCAAGAACAATAGACTGCAGATTTCCATGATGACATGTTAAAAGTGAAGCAATATTCACCAACAAGGCACATAACACTACCTTGGGGATGAGTAAAACCAAATGCTAATGTTTTCTCTGGGCTACACACACTTTGCAGCTTAGCATGTTATTCAAACTGCTTCAATTTAGAACATTTTTACACAGTGCCAGGAAATTATAGAATTCTAAACATGGTCCAACTATTGGCAGAAAAGTAGGTATGACTATTTAATTTTTATAACGATTATACAAAGTCTGTTTAATAATTTAAAAAGTAACTTTTATTAATAAGTTGACAATAATGATATTAAGTTCCCAGTAAATATCAAGCTATTTTAGGCTGCTGCTAATTCCTAGTGTTTAATAAAGTGTTACCGTACAAGGTGACCTCTTCTTAGAAAAACATAGGTTAATCAACTAACAACTCACAAACTGTAAAACTACTTAATCAAATTACAGTCCCAAAATGAAAGATTGCAATATGTTGACATTTAAACATACCTTGGATTTTCTCCCCATATATGTTTGTGCAAACCAATCAGAGTCCATTGCTTTAAGATTAGCCATAATTTGACCCTAGAAAGAGATATTCAAAACTTGATTAGACATTTTAGGTAACTGCAATACTTATGTATTAAAAATCTGAAAAACTAAATTGTACTTAGTATACAACTGAAACTCTGAAAGCTAATAAGTGAAAATGCATAAAAAATAAAATACATTCTGATTTCAACAATACTAAAAGTTGCAAATATGATAAATGAAAACAAAAGGTTCAAGTGCTTAGACACCCACCTACAAAACTTTTCTTACTAGTACAAAAACAATACTTACCGCAAAAGCTTCATGAAACTCAAAAACATCAATGTCAGCCAATGTCAAACCACTCTTTTCAAGAACTTTTGGTGTGCCGTATGTTGGGCTGCAGAAAATTGCATTTACAAATATCTGCTGTTAATTTTTATAAACTTTATAACTATTTTCTTGATGAATACAGTACTTTGCAATTTCAAAAATCTTAAAATATCCAACACTTTTTAAAATTGAAAAACTATAAATACTAATTACAAACAATGTTTAATTTACGGAACTAAAATGTTCTAAATGTAAGTAGGCCTAGTAATGCAAAACTTACCCTAGTAGCAGCTGATCTTTGGGATCTTGAGAGACATACACAAAATCTCTGTGCAAATTAAAAAGAATTATTAAAATTAAAGTTATTAAAGTTGCAACAGCAAAAGATAAAATAAAGGATATAAAAGATAAAATGAGGATGTTGGTATTAAAATTATAAGAAGCAGTACAGCAACACATAATTGTAAATCTGTACAAATTGTTTAAGAGATCAAAGACTGTTCAAAAACTCTCAATATGCGAGGTTAGCAGTATTAAAGGTTAAGAAAGATACACATGATTAAAAACAAGAGTTGGAGAAAGCTATTCATGTTCAAAAATCTCTCATACAAATTTGGGTACTTTTCTGATGTGAAGCATTCTTGTAATTCAAAAGAATAAAAATGCATTTTCTTTCCTATGTTATGTACCTCAGGTAAGCTTTTGGCTTGTATCCCATCGCCAGAGCTTTCTCTTCCGACATGATGAGGACAGCTGAAGCACCATCAGTCTTTTTAAAAAGAAAAACAGATGTAATATTTGGGTCACTCTTTGCATTACGTCGCAGCACAAAACAAAAATTAGATGTGTGAGATTGAGGTGCAGAAATCCTGATTTCAGACCTCCTCACATTACCATGGCCGGGGGGAGTTTTTTTTAGAAGCAGAAACACAGAGTGTGGTATGTTTTAGTTTGCAGAACCAACCGATTTGCAAAACATTTGTCATTTTACTTACCAAGAAAGAAGAATTTGCTGCAGTAACTGTTCCATGGGGCTTCACAAAAGCAGGTTTCAGCTTGCTCATCTGCTCAATGGAGCTTGGTCTAATCCCATTGTCTTTGCTAACAGTCTCCCTTCCTGTTGAATTAAAACCACCAAGAATTAATGATCACAATGACAAATATTATATTGACTGATATGGTACAAAACAATTTCAGAGCAGCAACAAAAAGTGACCTAGCTGCAAACAAAAGATATTCCGGACAGCAGTATATCCCTTAACGTGGAAATTGAACAGTTCAAGCCTGAAGATTGTTCTGGATCTGGAACTATAATGATATCGGTGTAATTTGGGATATAAGCATTAAAAACAGAGACAGAATGCCTGGTATAAGGGAGTAAATATCTGCTGAAGTGCAGAAACCACAACAAATCTTTTCTTGTTTACGCAGGCCATCATGAACAGAAAGCACCATACTCAGCACCTTATCTACCTGGTACTTTGAAGCTGATGACGTCACTGAGAAGACCTGCGTCTTCAGCCTTCTTGGCCAGTGTGTGGGAGCGAAGCGCGAACTCGTCCTGCTCCCAGCGTGAAACTCCAAAGGCGGCAGCCAGCCTGTCAGCAGAGTGGCCCATTGTCTCGCTGGTGGAGAACTCCGCTACAGCTGGAAGCTGCAATAATATCATTTAAATTTCTTTATATTATATATATATAATTATTCCATCCGCCTTGTAGAAAAAGTTAAGAACACGAGTAACATGAGCTGATATGCTGGCAAAGCACAAGAAATAAGAGAAAATTGTTCTCACTGTTTAACTTTTCATTCCAGTAGAGTATCAGCTAGGTACACAATAATGAGTTAATTTTGCCCGCATTAAGCAAACAATTAACAGACAATTACCTCAGGGGCAAGGTAACTGGGGCGTATTTTTCCAAGCAATGCCAGCTTCTGGCCCATGGTCTTGGCCTTGTTCAGGGACAACATTGCCTTTCTCATTTTTCGACTGTGGCGAATAGGAACATCAGACATGAACTCTACTCCACCTGCTACTACGGTGTCACACTGGCCGGAAGCTATCAGACCCACAGCTGCACAGAAACAGGACCAGACTTAGTTTGCAAAAGAACACAAAATGCACACAGCGTTATGCAAAAATCCCAAACACCATACCTCCTCACACTTTCCCTTAATGTTTTTTACTGACCTTTTCTCTTTACAACCTTTAAATGGACAGATGGCTCCAAAGCTATAGGTAACACTTAAATCAATGGACTGGAAGGACTGTTCAAGACAGACAATTTCTATATGATTGTTTTCGGTATGGGATAATATATTAAGTTAAAATTTAATGATTATGACATTAGAATGTCCTTTTAACTTCAATAATACTAAAGCTTTGACCTTCAGAGACAAATTTCACTTAATTAATGTCAACAAACTGCATTTTGAAAGCTTTGTTGTTGCTTTTCTTCCTAAATAAAACATTCATGAAAAGCTTCAATTAAAATCAGAGAAAAGTGTTCATTTTCTTACATGCACAAGGAACCATGAAGAAGACGCTCAGATAAGAACGCTACTGCTATGTTTGAACCATTGGAAAAATTGAATTTTGTGTGTAGTTGAACGCATTTCTACATATAAGTAGCGGAGATACCTGTAGTCATTGCCTGATTAGATGAGATACAAGCCATGGTGACTGTATGTGCTGGAATTCTGTCTGAAAAACCAGCTCCCAAGGCAGCCTAAAACACAGAATTAAAATAAATCAGACATGAAACATTTAAGTGCACAAAGTTTCATATTGGTAAATTCAACAGAGGATTTCACAAAACTGCCAGCACACCTTTCATTACATTTAAATCATAAAGGGTAATTCCTCAAATATTTCTGAAACCTTCAAGCAATCCAACAAACTTTAGAAGTCTAAGAAAAACACTTAAATGAAATACTGTGTTAATGAGAACAGTTTAATTTACCACAGCAATACATGGAAAGGCTGGAACTTATTCAAGACAGAGCCAAGTGCTGCCAACTAGAGCAAAAGTCAAGCTGTTGTTAAAAATACAGTTAAGCAAAGCAACAACTGCATGAGTATTTTCAATGCTTGGCTAATTGATATCATATTTCAGAAACTTTTTTTATAGCTCACATGAACGGTCACTTTTCAGTTTCATTTTAATAATCTTACAAACTAGGTGCCTTTTTGCTGGAACGACAACTGGTTATTAGAATTAATCAATGAGTGTTCCCATAGGAGTTCCCATGAAGCTCCATGATTAACATGGAATTCTCCTCTGCATGTAGTGCGGATTCATTTTCGTTCAAGTACACAGATAAAGGGAAGCACGAAGGAATGGATACACTGGATGGCATTTGAGGGGTAACATAGGGAATAAAGCACCATAACACTACAGTACATGGAAAAACTGTAGATTCAATGGGTTTATTATATTAAGACATCACTTCAAAACATTCTTTTGAAAAACACTCAGCAAAATGGGACAAGACTTCTGACATATGTAACCACTCTAAATTCTGATTTAACTATGCATTAAAATGAGTATGCAATGTTTCTAAGTGAACCCTGCAGACCCATGTAATGCTGTACATGTCCAAAATGTTTCTTCTTGCGGTGGTATGATTATAGAGGCTTGAAAATACAGGGTAAATGTACAAAATGAAAATACAGGAAAAATGTGTTTGTAGAAACAGAAATGGAAATCTTATTATATCAATATTACCCATAGTTACAAAGCAGCTATGCAAGAGATACACAGGAAATCCATGGAAAACTGCCAGAGTGCTTCTCATTGTCACGGACGTCCAAAGGGACTAACCATGGGGAGCAGGAGAGCAGAAAAAGACCAATATGCGTAGCGGCGAGACGGGAAAAAGGCCCGGGCTCATTAGTGCAAAGGGTTCAGGAATGCCGTATAGAAACCTATGCCCTCAGGGAGCGGACGTGGGGCGCCCTGGTGCTAGGCGGGTCTCAGGACATCCGAACGTCAATGCTGAGCGAGGACAGAGTGCAAGACCCGGAAATATATAGCCCAAGGGAAAGAGAGGGACAGGAAGGACAGCAGACCGGAAACTAGGGACAGGACAGAGAAGGAGCGCCCTCTGGCTGCAGAGGGTGTGACACTCATAGAAGCACTCCGCATGCATGAACAAAAAGCAAGGAGGGTTGAGATCAGTCTGAAAGTTGATCGTTACCTCTCTGGCAACATTGCTGGTCTTCACTTCCTGGATTACTGTTCCATAAACAATATAGTCTACAGCAGTTCTTGGGATGCCAGTCTTGGTGATGAGCCCCCTGTTGAAAGATGGTTTAAAACTGTACTAAAAAAAACACCTTTTTGATTGTACATATATTTAGTGTTACCGAATTTTCATATTGCCGTTTCCTGAAATCATACCCATTACCAAAGACATTTTCTTAAACGTAACCCCAAAGGAATATTATTTGAATTTTACAATTCATTTTACTTACTGCAACGCTGCTCTGGCCAAGTCATGAGGCATCAAATCACTATACCTAAAAAAATGTCAAAGAAATTTTGTCTTAGCTTGAAGGTAGATAATGACTGGCAAAACATGAGCTCTAATTCCCAACGTTAAGGGTAAAAAGATCACTTAACACCCAAACAGCACAAAATAAATACAAGCGTGTTAAAAAAAAAGCTGAAGGGTACAGCTGTAGCCTCAACTGTTAATACACTACTAGGCTATTTCACATGCATTAGCTTGTAGTCCTACTATCACAATCTATTTAAATATTTAAACGAGCAGCACTTTTATTGACTTCAGGAAAGAAGAATATGTCCTGAATGAACGGATGGGTGGATGGAGTTTACAATTCAGGTGTGTTAAGCTGGATTGTTCTTTTTCAGGGGAAAAGCCTTGTAGCATCTTTTGTCCCACCCCATCGGAAAAAAAAAAAGAAAAATGTTCTGCACGTGAAGAAACAATTATGTTTTCTTTGGGAATTAATCCATTAGTTTGAATTAGTTTGTGCATTAATAACTAAGAAAGATTATACTAAAGACATTCATATTTTTACTTACGTTGTTCCAGACTGCAAAAAAGGGGTGCGCACTCCTTCAACTAGAACGATATTCTTCACACCAGGTTTTGCCAGAGTCTTTTTAGTTTTGGGTTGTACTACAATAATAAAGACAAAACATTCAGAACATTTCCATTCTTACTAATACTAAACATAAAAATAAACTTAACCAAAATAATTGATGGTATTGTCAATCTAAATCATTAAACACATCTTTTGTAAAACACTTTTAAACTTTAGGCACAAAAGCACCGGTAAAAAAGTAATAAGGATCTAGCAATTAGAACAACACAGATTTAAAATATTAATATTAATATTAATATTCTGTCCTTCAAAAAAGGATTTTGAAGAATCAAAGATTTCACACCATAAGAAAGGATAATTTACTTTTAGTCTTCTGGAAAGTACTGTAATTATCGATAAATTATTTTAATTCAAAACCCCCAAAGGTAAAATAAACATTTTGCTAAAAAAACACTTTTCTTTTTTGCACAAATGGCACAAAAGAATTAGACTATACCTTGAGCTTGTAAATGTGATGTCGTAGTCAGTGATCTAGCAGCTGATAAGGATGGAAAATACAAAATATTTCCAAGATTAATTAAAACATCCATTGTATATACACTAAAACCTATATTTAAGAGCTTTCCAATTTTTGTTCTGATATTAGCTATTTTTAATTAATGTAAGAAATTGAACAGATTCAACTCAATGCAAATGAACTGAACAAATTCTATGCAAATGGATTGACGTTATTTTCTGATCATGTAGTTACTGCAGAAATAAATTAGCACAACAGAGCAAATGCTCTCCTCCTGTTCTAAGGTTCTGATCTGATAATAGAAAGGGTAGCTGGAGTGAAACCAGAAGATACCAGACTGGAAATCCCAAATGACAGACTGATTTATTCTGAATTTTATTTTTATAACCTGTTCTTTTTTTCTTACCAAGTTTAACAACCCAGGCAGAATTTACTGGGCAGTTCCTGATGCCATGTGTCAAAATGGATGCCATTTTTGCTGTCCTAAAATGCAGAAGAAAAAGTCGTCAACATTCATTCTCCTTCTGTAAGGAAAATGTAATAGAACCCTGATCTTTTTCACAGTTAATCCTAAGATTGTTAAACAAAGTATTTCACTTACACTGAATGATCATAAAAATCCAGGTATGATATCACGACTTTCCGTTTATGAAGGATTCACAATTTTAGGAAATGCAAAATTTACCAAAAAAAAAGGAAAAACTGATTTAAAGCTTGTTTGTAAATGCATATATATATATAGAGGTCTTAAAAAGAAACAAAACACTAAACTAGTTAAATAAATATCTAATAATGTTTAGTGGGGTACAAGTCAAACAGCCCCCACTGTTTTCTGTAGCATTTAATGAACATAACTACAACTTGTCTTCCCTTTTCATAAATGACAACTTCACAACAGTATTAAAGCTTTAAATGCAAAACAATCCACCTGCATTATTTCAATAGTTTTATTTAAATTCAGCATGATGTTTTTTTCCGTGCCTTTTACATAGCAACCACATGAACCTAAGTGAAAGGTTGTTCTCAAGATAAGCTTGATTTGTGTGAGAAGAGTCATTTCTTCACATAAAAAGCAGCAGGGCTACAAATGCAAAACTTTATAAAACTGTACCAATCCTAATCTATTAAGAAAGAAAATAAAAAAAATCAGTTCAATAATGGCCTGCGACTAGCCCATTTCGTGGTAAGTACTACAAGTACAAGAATCTCAACCAGCCATTTATTTAAAGAATCTAAGATATCACAGCTTCAGCATGGCTGGGTAGCTTGTTCCAGACTCCCACAACCATTTTGGTAAAGAAGTGTCTCCTGTTCCTGTTTTGAAACGCACTTCTTCTTGTGTCCAATGGTTCATGTTTCACTGTTCATTCTGAAGGATTCTGCTGGGTTGACACTGCCAATGCATGTGAGGATTTTGAATCAGGTTCTGGATAATATCCCCCTATAGCCTTCTCTGATCATAACTAAAAAGTTCACGTTTCTTCAGCACTATAGTGTAGGACAATCCCTTCAGCCCCACAATGTTACTACTCCTTTCTGGATGGATTCTAGAGTAGCAATATCTATTTTATAAAAACATGGCGAGTTAAATTGTATACCATATTCTAAATGATGCTGTCCAGCACAGCAGACATATGACAGGTTTTGGTGTCAAAATTGTTTGACTTCATGGTTGACCTTAATGACATCTTTGAAGTGTTTTTTTTTTTTGCCTTCTGCTTGAGTGTATGAAGTTGTCTATCCAACTTCACACACACAGGGTATTCCAAATGAAGTCTGCATCACACAAATGTTAACATAACCCCCTGAGTTAAGTTCTACTCTTTTAAATATTTATCCTGCCATTTTGATAAAACGATAAGACAGTAAACTGTTCTGCAACGTCACTGCCTCAGTCTACACAAAGAAGCTGCATTCTGTTCTAGGAGACTCAAAAGCATTTTAGTTATCTCTCAAGCACTTCTATATATTTGACATTTAACTCCACCTTTTCAGAAATTCAAGGTAGTAAAACGCATACGGAATTCATATTGTACATTATATTCACAGATCGGGTGTTCCGGAGTGAGAGTTTCCTATCTGGGTGGAAGCACCGCCCACAGCTACACTTGACCTCTCACCTACTTCTCCAACCTCCATACCACACGAGCCTCTGCAATGAAACAATACATTGCAGTTCATTTTGGTTGGAAAAGTAAGGTCTGTGATAATCCAATCCACACAATTCAAGAACTGTGTTCCCTTTAATGGTTACACAAATCCCGAGATTAACAAAAAAGTGGGGCACTTCTTACTGGTAAAGAGAACTTTCAAACGATGTTGGAAATGCAAGGCGCTTGCAAAAATAATACAAAATCTGGCTCCGACAACGCTTAATTTGGCACGATTTTCTCGATCTAGAATAGAAAATGAATTATTCACATAACGTACCAAATCATAACCAACCTTTAAAAAAATATTAATCAGTTATAGAAAACAGTACCGATTGCAACTTATTGATCATTGTATTTCATTCACATAAAGATAACATCTATACGAACGATGCAATGTTAAACTATTAAGTAAGAGGAGTGTCAATGAAATAGAAGCGCCTGAATTTCAAATTACTAATGTGAAAACTGCAACGCAATGATTTGCACCTGATGTTTCCCCATGACTTAAAAAAAAACAATGCATGCTGCTTTACATACTTCTCTGCTTGTTTACACATGTTTTAGCGCTATGTCTGAAAGCATTACCCGATTTCTTTTCTTTCTGGCGAAATACGCTCACCTTGTCCGTAACGGAATACTCACACGCAACACCCAAACCCTGACTGACCCGGACACAACAAGCCTTACAGTTGTCTCTCTCTAAGGACCTTCGACAGGTTGTGCTTTCCCAATCCTCGCCTGACATCCTTGTGCGGCTCGTTACATTAATGAAATAATAGTAGGAAATTGAACAACAGTACAAACTGGAAACCTTAATAATTTAGAATATTTAGACTTTTATATATATTTAAATTTTACTTTTAGAAGCTTTCTCTTATGTTTTGTCTCAGGCTTATCTGTGGTGTCCTCAACAGATATTAATACTGAAGGTCCTAGTCTGCTTGCCAAAGGTTGTTCTCTCCCTTGTCTGAACTTGACTGGCAAAGATGGCTGGCGTAAGAGCGCTTGGAATACTTTCCAGGTTTGCAACGAGCAGATATTCACTCTTTTCAGGTAACTGAATATGTTAGCTTATTAAGATGCTGGGTGCCACCTGCACCTTCCTCTGTTGCCATTATTGTTTAAGAAAAGAGAAGTTTCTTGGTGCTGGATGAGTGGGTGTACAGTATGCAACTGAAGCAGGTCTGCATTGACCTTTCACCTACTTAAATAGTGACAGTTACTTTGATAGAAATGCACACAGAAGTCATAACATAAGGGTTTTGTTGTGTCTATTGTAGCTGATGCATATAAAATTGAATATTTTTTCTAAGGCAATTTGTTCCTTTATGCGTTTTGCAGTTTTAATTCACCCAGACGTTGCTCTCCTTTTTATTTTTTTCGTGATTGATTTGCTTTCTTTGAGTCTTAAAGGCAATTTCATTGAATTTAATCATGATTATTAGCGTTCTTAATAGTTAATGTTTTGGATTTTTGTAATTCTTTGAAGTAAGTGATTATAGTGCAGTACTACAAACAGCAACGCAAGGAAAAATTAAGACTTTTTCTACACACTGAGCACAAAGACTGAACACACACCAATGTACTCAGTCTTACAGTTTTTATTTATTCTCCGTAGGGTGTGAGAGTTTTCTTTCCTTATGTGTATTGCATTCAGTTAGTTGAATATGGAGATTTGGAAAAAATACCAGAATGCTGTTAATCACTCTGCAGTAATTAAAGTTACCTTTTAATATGGAGGAGCATTCGTTCTACTTGACTACTCAAACACAGAATTGCTAAAGTATTAAATGGGGTGCCGTGCAGTTTAATATTCAGTGTTAATTATAGTGATCAACTTCTGTGCCTCTGACTTAAAGTTCATAAAAAGCCTATAAAGTATATTCATTTAATTTTTGGAAGGCAAGGGGAAAATCGATTTTATTAAGGCACACTGAGCCTATGTGGAGTGAAAACGCTGTTGCTGTACCTTCTTATACCTTAACATTCATGTCACTGTGGCAAGAGAAAATCACTGCAGTCTTCAAAACCCTTTCAGTTTAAGGCACTTTTTTATTCTGTAAAGATGGGAGAAATCAGTTCTATACGAGGGAATATAGATATTTCATGAAAGAGGTCAGAATATTAACAAAAGTTGATATTGTATGGAAAACATAAAACTGCTAAAAAAGCTATAGGAGCTAAACCATGTAGTGCTCTTAGGTCAGTGCCAGTTAAACTTTATTAAAGTAGTAAAATATGATTATTACTCTAGTTTAATACATGTGTTTTATGGTGTTAACATTTAAAGGTTATTCAGGTAGAGCTGTGTTCCATATTTCACTTTTTGGATTTCCATTTTAAATGATAATTTGATTAACATACTGCAGATTAAAATATTCTGTAAAATATTTCACTTGTGAATGTACTGTAACCTTGATTTAAGCAGTGGCCATTACTAAGCAGTTGCCATTGCCAGTGGTATTGATCTTGTGCTGTGTCACATGTTAAAAAGAAGGACAAAGGTCACTTTCTGCAAGCTTTTTATCTTTCCACCTATAAAAGGAATTTGTGTCAAAGTTCATTGCCTTCTTGCATCAAGTAGACTTGACGACCCCAAGTTGACCCCAAATATTAAAGGGACCACTTACTTCAATGTGATTTTTCACTTGACTTTCCATGTTAAGAGTTTTTTTTTTACTGTTTAGCATTTGTATTATTGAAATGCAAGCTAATTGAATATATAAACCTATACTAATGCAATATTTTAAAGCATTTAAAATGCTTCATTAAAAATATATTTTTTTTTATTCCTGAATGACAACTGTTTTGAAGGTCTTCTCATTTATACTTATAAATGTGACGCATTTGTTTCCCTCAGCCTTCTATATTTAACACTACACATCTTGCCATGGGTATTTTATGAATGTAGAAAGAGATTTGTCCCCAACTAGAAGCTGTAGTGTGTCAGCGGTCACTGGGTAAAATGAATATTAAGGTGTTGAAACAGCTACAATTATCCATCAAGGTTACAAACTAGTCTGATCAAGTACCACATACTGGACTTAAAATTTTGTTAAATTCCAGGAAGTTCTAGAAACATCCAGCAGATAATGTAACAATGTTTTGCATTTAGGGAAAGTTAACAAGGACTGTAAGCAAAAAGCATTTGAGCAGGTGTGGTTGAAGAGCACGAGACCAGACTGAACGAGCTACAGCCAAACAATTCAATGTTAGCACTTGATTCTGCCTTGATGAACCAGAACTTGTGAAATACAGGAGCGCTAAAAGGACTTCTTTTAAACACAGGGAAATGAGCTGTACGGCCAAATTTAAGGAGCTAGTTAAGAACCCATTCCGAAATCCACCAAGCAAAGTTTGTTTATTAGGAGTTTTGATTGGGACCAAAATGTGTCTCTCTTTTCCTCCGTTTAAAGGCAGACTTTGCCATAGATAATTATTTGGTTTGTGAAATTCACTCGGTTTATCTTGATTGAGATGTATGTATCCTTCAACATGAATGATGCATTCATAGTCTTTTATTTAATTAGCTTGCATTTTGTGCTTCAGATAGTGTGATAAGTTTGTCACTAAAGCTATTGCCTATTTCATTGCTACCACCTTGAGGATAGTACATAAAAAAAAGGCCACATGACCTTGTTCATGTGAGTAATTCACCTGACGAATAAGGTGGGTTATTATTCATCTTTAATAAATGTGCTGTTTCTCAGATTGTACTGCCTTGTTTGAAAGTGAATCTTAACGTAAAACCTTAACTACCTACTTTTGCTATTAATACCCCTTATATTATTATTCCTCATAAGTTTTATTTTCTTTCTGTAGGTTATGCGTGCCGCAGCTTCACAGTTTCTTCTGCCATGCTAGGTAACTATGGTCATAGTCTGTTATGTTGTACAGTATGTTTTGTTAATATTTTGTAAAATGGTTACAAATTTTGTTTTCCCTACAGTTCGAACCCATGTCAACTATGAAGTTAAGGGAGATGTTGCAGTTATACGAGTCAACGACCCAAACTCCAAGGTACTTCAAATATATCATTAGACTTTTTTTCCGATATTTCCAGCTTTTTTCTGTTCTGTGTTTTAAACGCCTAGTTTTCAATTGAATAACGTCAAGCTTTACTTTTGATATTAATTTGACACTAAAAACACAATAGCAGCTATAAGTGGACCTTTGGTCTCATTCACTGTCAGATGACTCTAAAATGGTCAAGTTTTTTTTATCCTAACCAATAAGGACACCCGGTGTAACTGCTAAAGACTGGACATACGCCAGCAGAATCACTCTTTTATACCCACCTACAAAACAAAGTAGGAATGTATTAGGTTTATGAAAGTAAAGAACAATTATGAATATCGTGCTTAAAGCAATGCTCCAAATATAAATGAATTTTTCTAAAAAGTTTGTCCTATTTTGAGACATACTTAAATATGAAGATATAGAAAAACTAAATACAAAAATAGACAGGTAAAAAACATGTAGAAAATATTAGTATAATCTTAATGATTATATAATATGCCATAAAAAAGTGACTTAACTAGTTTTTATTTGTTGCCTATGTAAGGCAGGTTACATAGACGACCATTTTAATACTAAAGGAAACTTTGATTTGTCTTTGTCTTTTGCAGGTTAATGCTTTGTCGGTGCAGATGCAGTCAGAATTAACACAAGTAATGAATGAAGTCTGGACAAATGATGCCGTCAAAAGTGCTGTGCTCATCTCCTCCAAGCCTGACTGCTTCATAGCCGGAGCAGATATCAAGTCAGTCCTAATTAATAGATTAAATTGAAGCAATTTGTCTATGTATTTGTTGTGTCCTTTATTACCGATAAAAATTATTTTGCAACGCCATAGAAGTGACCGGCGGGTTTTTTTTTCATTTGCCCATTTTGGTGTAACTCTTGTTCAGTATTTTATGTCCAGATCCTGTCCGCTTCTCTTTTAGTTCGTTTTTATTCCTTTTCTTGCAGCATGATAGAGGCCTGTAAATCTGAAGCGGAAGTGACCAAACTTTCTCAGGAAGGACAGAAAATGTTTGAGAAGATTGAAAAGTCCCCCAAACCCATTGTTGCTGCAATTAATGGATCCTGTTTGGGAGGAGGCCTGGAGGTTAGTTTTCATTCAGTTACACACTCTTCTGTTTTATGAATTCATACCCAAACTACAGAAGTGCTTGATTTATGAAGTTTCACTGCAGCAAAGCTCATAGTTTAAAACTTGTATTTTACTGCAGACTGTGATTTTTACAAGGCACTTCCCTTGTGATGTCAGTTATTTTGCTCAGTAATTTTTGTAATTACAAAGGGATCGATTGTAGTTGTACACCTGATTTTTAACATCATGCCAGCAAAATACATTGCAGGTGCTTCAGTTGTAACAAAAGCAGACATGAAGAAGAAAGCAGTTCCACTACTTTAAAGAATTAAAGTGATGGAAAAAATCCAAGCCAAGCAGTTGAAAGACATTTGCCTTACCATGAGATGAGCAGCACTGCGCTGATCTTCATCGGTTCGCCATTTAAAAAACATGTTTACTGCTACAACAAGATAAATAAGATACCGATGAGAAACCTGCATAAGTGTTCTTATTTTGACAATTTTTATTTTGACTCACTTCATTGGTGAGTGCGTTGATATTTTGTATTTTGTTTTTGTTTTTTCTTTTCAAGTTTGCCATTGCTTGCCAGTACAGAGTGGCAACAAAAAACAAGAAGACAGTTCTTGGTACGCCTGAGGTTATGCTGGGCTTATTGCCAGGAGCTGGAGGAACCCAGAGACTGCCAAAAATGGTATTGATGGAAATGCATCAAGATTCATTCTTCTCATGCATATTATGTGCTGTGTGTGTTCCACCTGTAGATTGACTAAATTATTCTTGGGCCTTTTGTTGGACAGGTGGGTCTTCCCTCTGCCTTTGACATGATGTTGACGGGAAGAAACATCCGTGCTGATAAAGCTAAAAAGATGGGGCTTGTTGACCAGCTTGTCGACCCACTTGGTAAAAAATTCTGTCAACGGAAAACTTGTTCTCCCATTATCAGTGCTTGTCTTTTTTTTTTCAAACAAAGTTTTTCAAACGTCAGCAGGACAGTTTTCAATTTAACTTGAAGTATTAATACTTATTTGGCATCTCCTGATTTATCCTATATGTTCTTTGTAATTATGCAAGGGACTGGGTACTGATCTGTTTCTTTTTCGCTTTTAAGGCCCTGGGTTGAAAAGTCCCGAGGAGAGAACAATTGAGTACCTTGAAGAAGTTGCTGTGGAATGTGCCAAAGGAATAGTCAGTAAGAAAATCTCCCTCAAGAAAGACAAAGGATTGATGCAGAGTAAGTCTGAGGAAGAGTCTTTAAATGTACACCTCTACATGGTCTGAGAGGTTATATAAGAAGGGTTCTATAAAATAGGAACAAGTAATAGGTTTATTCCATGCTGAAAAGAGAAGAAAGAAAACACAACATACGGATTCAGAAATGTTTAGTCTAACTATGCAGACCTTTCTCAAAATCATTGATTGTGGGGAAAAAGTTAGATTCATTTTTTTTTTACTAAAACAATGAATGTGTACATAAGATTATGTGAAAGGCGGTGATCTGTCTGCCCGAGCAGTCTTGTGGCTTTAGACTAGGTTTTTAATTGGCGTATCTGGAGTGCTCTGGACTTCTGTTCACCCACAGAGCTGGGTATTTATGCTTTCCTTTTTTTCTTTAAGACACAACAGTCCCAGTCATTATTGTCTACTGCTATTTCGACCCAAGACGAATCGTCCCCAGAAGGAAACATAAAAATCAGTTTCAATACCTGTCTCTCTTTTCTTAGCAACATCATTTACACAGTAGAAAAAGTTTCCTTTGTAATCATTACACAGGGGACCCTTCAGTGGTCTATAACTCTAGATTTCTTCCCTGGTCTTGCAGGTAGAAGGCAATGTTTATGGTAATAATCCTAGTGGGTTTTTCACACAACACCAACCCGTACTCTATCACACCACCACACATCTAGGTGCTCTCTTGCATTTGGACCTACAATGTTACCACTTTACAGGAAAGCCTCCACCAAGCTCTTGGCCACTGTGAGGTTATGGTACTTTATCTAGTTTACCTTCTCTGTGGAAAGATGGAGATATTAAGAGCCAGCTGTTATATTTTCGTCCTCTAACATCACCAGCCTTGGTACAGACTGCAACTCCACTCTCCAGTTCTTGGAGGATGAATTCTGTGTAGCTCTGGGGAGGGAGATAGCACCCTCGTGTGGCCCAAGGCAGGACTGTAAGCCTCTTGCCAATGTAACATTAAATGTTTAAGAATATAATGTTGAGTCTCAACTGTCCAGCTGCTGCTATTAAAGTGTTTACTGGACCTCATCAACAGCCCTTTAAGGCATCACTTGGAGTTCAATATGCATAATACACCCTGTCCTCAGATTATGTAAGGGTTGGGTTCCACAAGTCTTTACATAGCCTAAATCTTGTGTAAATCAAAAACAACCCATTCTTAGTAGTTCTCTGAATACATATCAATAATTATAATATAGCAATTAAACCCTATAATTAAAATCAAATATAATACACTTAAAATATGCTGTACCTTAAATTAGAGAGAATTACTATTTAACAAATTTGTAAATACTGTTTATTTCATTACCCTGTACTGTAAATAAATATTAAATACACCGTGTATAATAAAATCCCGTAAGTGCTACCCTGACACGATTGCAAATTCAGATTACTGACAATTTTTATTAAAAAGGTGTATGGTAACTACTATTTATTATCTTGCATGCATGAAAGCAAAGTGAGACTGAAGTGTAAAACAGAGCCCTGGTAAAGACTGCTTTACATGTACCCTGTTGAAAAAATGTGTCACACAGAGGTTGACATTTACAGCAAAGCTAACCAAGAGAGGAAGTAGTGAAGATGAACAAAACAGGGTTATTGGGAATAATAATTATTTTTTTTCTACAAAATAGTGGTTTTAGGTTATATGTTTATAGGTTTTGATGAATTCTTTATAATTATCCAAAAACACTACTAAATGGACACTTGTTAGTGACACTATTGTCCAGAGATGCAGTTTTCTCTTCTGATTAGAACACAGAGCTGCAGTTTTCAGTCATTCTTGAAAATGTAATATGCCGTGTTCAGTAATGTTATATTTCATTTAAAATATTATATATGCCGTTTTTTTTTTGTTCTTGTCCTGTGGATTCATGAGAATCGTGTACTTAAATGAAAATGTTAGTTTGTGAGTGACTGTTACATTGTATTGTAACATATCTGGTTGAACAATATATGGCATGAGAAATGGTTAAAACATCTTTTAGACTTCAGTACAGCTGGTTTTTAAAATGTAGATGTTGGTTAAGTAATTAAATACTTGCTAGAATATAATCCATTCATATTAATTGATCAGTAGGTGAAATTAAGCTTTTAAATGATGCATATACAGAGTACTTTTATTAAATTCTTTTATATGGTGCTCCATAAGTCTTTTATCTGTGAATCATATAGCAATTAATGTGAGAGAATCATGTTGTAAAATACAAAACCTGCTTCAGTATTGTGTTTTGATTGCAGTAGATCCTGTAAAATTGCATTTCAATTCCTGTCATATGCTGTCAAATAAAACTGTAAAATCGGTATGCAGTTGATCAGAACAGGAAAGGCATAATGGACAATACTGATGATTACAAGTGTGAAGAACATCACAAAGACAGATATTTCAGGTTTCAGCAAAATGTTCTTTATTCAAACATGCAGGGGAGAGTAACTTTGGGAAAGTCACTTTGACCTTAAGATGTTTAGTAGCTTGGTTATGTGTTAACCTTATGTACCACATTACTTTCCTTCACCCTCTGGTTATTTACAGTGTTTTAACATTGCCACTAGTTTCTTCTTTATGTTCTTTATGTTCAGCCATGTAGCAGATTGTTCATTTGTCATTATCTGAAGGAAAGGGAACTGTAACAAAGAATGCTTTGCAACCACTTACAATGTGTTTTTCCCATGTTTCAAAATGCATTACAGAAATAACAGACTACGTTATGAGCATTCCATTTGTAAGGAAGCAGATCTACAAAACTGTGACAAATAAAGTTATGAAGCAGACTAAGGGACTGTATCCTGCTCCTTTGAAAATAATTGAGGTACGTTGGATGTCTTATATCAGGGATTTTAATTTAACTTTTCCTCTCCCATTAGTTTCTACTTTTGAAGTATAAAGTCCTTATAACAGGAAGAACCTTTCATAAACAGCGCAGATTAAATTTAACTATTTGCTCTTCATACAGTATGTTTTAGGAAGTAACATTCACAAGTACAGTCTTTTTTTTAGAGTTTGTTTTTATAATGTGAATCATTTATAATATTATAGTTATCATTTAAAACTTACACTTGCTTAGTGCGGGTATACAAGTGCACCATTTAGTGGGGTTACTGCCACATTAATTGCAGTAGTAATTAGTAATAGTAACACATTAAAGGATGCAGAGATGCAGAATGCCAATTTATCAGGACTTTTCTGTTTTTTTCTGGATTCCTGTAGGCTGTCCAGACAGGTATTGATCAAGGATCAGATGCTGGCTATTTAGCTGAATCACAGGTAAATACAAAACTATTAATATAAGGTATTATTTAATTAAATGAAATTTAATATTTTGGCCTTATTTTCACATATTAAATGTTTCTCTTCTTCAGTTGAGCCAATTAGCTTTTCTTGGGTTAGCAGTGGGACTATTAAGGGTAGAACATTGTATAAATTAATTCCCAAAAAGAGTGTGGCACAATGATACATCTTTCACAAAATGCTCTTGAAGAGGAAGTGCAATGCTGTTTTTATATTTAGGGGTGAGAAAGAATCAGCATTGATGAGTGCATTTCAGACCACAATGAAAGTATAATGTTCACAGTAACTTGTAAAACCTCCATATTACATCACGAAATAGACAAACTTTCCAGGTATTCGCAGTTTAATTGGGACTGCAGTTCCCCTTCAAGTTCTGTTACCTGCAGTCAAAGTTGGCATCTCCCAGAAGTGTGATTGCCTCATATACACACCAGCCAGCAAGAAAACTATTAAAAACTCAGGCTCCTAACAGTGTTATATTGTTTTTTATGTTCAAAGGGTTTTGGAAAACTAGCCATGACCAGTGAATCCAAAGCTCTTATTGGTCTCTACCATGGTCAAGTTACATGCAAGAAGAACAGATTCGGGACCCCACAGAAAGAGGTCACGTAAGTGCCCTTTTTTACATTTTCAGTCACAGTCATTTTGACGTACTCAACCTATGCCTTATTGTTACTCATCAAAACTAAGTCCGCAATCAAGACCCAATAAGCTCATTTAACTATCCGTTTTGGAGCCGTGCTTTTATATTTTAGGTTTTCAAATAAGGAATACTGCATACATTTTAAAATGCTATAAGCTCAGTACAGCTGAGCTATTTTTTTGAAATATCTGAATAAAACACTATGTCAAATCTAACCATGCTGTGGGTGAATAAACAAGTCTTTTTTTTTTTTCTATTCTAGAAACCTGGCCATTTTGGGAGCAGGTCTGATGGGGGCTGGCATTGCCCAGGTCTCTGTAGATAAGGGTCTCCAAACCATTCTGAAAGACACCACCATTGAAGCTGTAGGGAGAGGGCAGCAGCAAGTCTATAAAGGGTTCGTAAGATGCAATTTGTTTCCTTTACCAAGAGGTGGCACTACTTCTCTATAGTGTGAAATTATTGTCATTGAAATTAAAGTGGAAATAATAAACTGTTAGTTACCTCTGTATATGAATGAAGTATAGAAACAATTCATTTGAAAGATTTTCTGTGTGCCCAGGTTAAATGACAAAACTAAAAAGAGGAACATCACATCCTTCGAGAGGGACAGCATTCTTTCTAACCTCACCGGCCAGCTAGATTATAGTGGATTTGATAAGGTGGACATGGTGATTGAGGCTGTTTTTGAAGACATCAATATCAAGCACAAAGTCTTGAAAGAAACTGAAGCGGTGGGTGTAGCTGTGCGATACTATTTTTTGTTTGCTTGTTCTGTAGCCGTCATGCCTTAAATTAGACTTACCACAGTTAGATGAGAGAATTGTAGAACTCAGATGTGTATGTTATACAGTGTATATATACGCACACTGATTTGGTACAAAACAATGTCATGTCATTTGCCAAACTGCTTTATACCATACGGTGTTGCGGGAAGCCGGAGCCTACCCGGCACGCAAAGATCACAAGGCAGGGTACACCCTGGATGGGGCAGCAGTCCATCGCAGGGCAAGTGCAAGCCAATCATACATGGGGACAATTTGGAGGCCACGGTAAAGGCTGAGGGGGGAAATTTGGCCCAGTCGCCGGTATAACTTCCTGTTCTTATTGAGAAATGCCCGTGGATCTTTAATGACCACTGAGAGTCGGGACCTCGGTTTAACGTCTCATCCGAAAGATGGTGCCCACTACAGTATAGTGTCCCCACCACTATACCGGGGTAATGGGACCCACACAGACGGCAGGTTGACAAAACAATGTATTCAGACATAAACATGATGGAGAACTAAATGCTAGCGCCCCCTATCAAGTGCTCATTGCAATTTAAACCTGAAATACAAGTGCTAGAAACACTAAAAGGGAGGGAATAATTATTAAATTGGTGTTTATTGTATTACAAGAAAATAGAAAGTCCCTCCTCCCTTTATCTTTCATGGAATGATGGAGTTATCGATGCAATATCTAATGCTCAGTCCGTAATTGTTGCTAAAAGTAATTTTAATACTGGTTCTCTAAAATGTTTGTGCACACAATTAGGTTTGCAGGGCTCTTAAAAAAATGTCTTTTCTTTGGTGGGCTGAGGAAATGTTCATTGTAAAAATGTTCCCCAAAATTTAAAGCCGACTTTATAAGACCTTACCGATTTCCTAGACTCAGGAATTACTGACCATGGATAATTTTGCTTACCTGAAGTTTTACTGATTTCAAGAACTGGGCTTTTGAATTTATAATTTACGTTATGCAAGAGAATGGCAAAATGTCATTTCTTTCATACAGTACACTTTCATTTTTTGCAGGTTATTCCTCCTCATTGTATTTTTGCCACTAACACTTCTGCCCTACCTATTAAAGACATTGCTGCCGCTAGCAAACGACCAGAAAAGGTCAGTATTTTTTTATTTATTTATTTTGTACATCCTGTACATTTTTCTTTCTCCTCATCTACACAAATGAATACATTCTGCATTGGATGTTTTACCCAGGTCATTGGGATGCATTACTTCTCTCCAGTGGACAAAATGCAGCTGCTGGAGATCATAACTACTGATAAAACCTCTAAGGACACCACTGCCTCTGCTGTTGCTGTTGGCCTTAAGCAGGGAAAAGTCATCATTGTTGTTGGGGTAAAAAAAGATTTCCATAATGTCTGCAGAAACACTTTTCTAGCCGAGTTGCTGTACTGACTTCTTTTTATACATAAAAAAATGCACATTTTGTTTTTGAACATTAATTAGAGACAAGATCTGTAATCATTGATATTATAAAAATAGTAATTAATGGTCAGTTTGCCATAGTTGTTGTATTGTTTATGATCAAGATTGTATGCGAGTTGATGTAACCTCATTTTAAATTTCTTAATAGTGTATGGTCATCCAGCATCAGTCTTTATTTCTATGATCACTGCTTGAAGCCAAATGGACAAAAATGATCTTTTAATGTACAATTTTGTTTTTCTGCATTCATTTCAGGATGGTCCTGGTTTCTACACAACTAGATGTCTGGCTCCCATGTTAGCAGAAGCTGTCAGAGTCCTACAGGTTTGTTTGCTTCCTTTTTTAGGGTGCAACCAATGATGTGATCTTTTTCCTGTCTATCTCCAACAGTGGCCATAGAATTTAAAGCATTTTTTTAAGAACAATTATGAACAAAGGGGCACTTCTTGTCTTTCACAGTTGATTCTGTAATCCATTGCCATTGACAATACAGGGCAAAGGAAGATTTTGAATGCTTGGATCAGGTCAACTTATAATTTTCTCTGGTCAAAAACGTTCAATTCTTTCACCAAGCAGTGTAGGACATTCTGTTAAGCCTGGGGATGTACTCTATCTGACTGCTCTTTTAAAAGCAATAGAGCAGATTTCACAGAGCTACAATATGTTTGTTGTAATGTGGTGAGATTTAACCAATGGATTGTTAATTGATTTTTTTTTTTTTAAGTCTCCAATAAACCTTACTGGAATGGTATTTCATTGATAATAAAACAAGTGCTTCAATAAAAGTCCCATTTGGGTTTTATTAAAATGCCATATTTGGAAAAACAATTGAGCAATCCTAAATTTATTGTTTATACATTTAGAACAGTAAGTTGTTGCAAGCAAGAATCAAGCTAGAAGTGTGTTATTAATGTGTGCGTGAATGTACAAAAAATATATATACATATGCTAGTACCATTAGTGAACTAAAGGTAGCTACTGAGATCTCAATTAAATTTCATAATGCCACAGGCACTGTGGCAGATTCAACTATGTAAGACTCAGTTAATAATTACTAAGAATGAATGTCAAGAAATACTAGAATTTTCATATTGGAAAAATGGAATTTTCCGATTTCTGTGCAGTACATTTGCGTGGTTTGGGGTGTGTGCAGCCTGTTTTCATTATCTTGCAGATAAGCTGTCATTTACTAGACATTTGCTTTCCTGTGTATACAGGAAGGTGTTGACCCAAAGAAGCTGGATTCTCTCACTACTGGTTTTGGCTTTCCTGTTGGTGCCGCCACTTTGGCAGACGAGGTTGGCATTGATGTGGCTGCCCATGTAGCAGAAGACCTGGGCAAAGCCTTTGGTTCCCGATTTGGTGGTGGCAATGTTGAAGTTCTGAAGACCATGGTGGAAAAAGGTTTCAAAGGTAAACAGAATGTACAGAACATTTAATGATGTACAAATGTGCAATAGTCTAAGAACAGGTGTAGTATGGGTTAGACTGAAAATCTTCCATGCTTTTAAAGTTACCAAGTGATGCTAATTAACAGGAAAGTAATGCCCTTGAACAGTATTAAAAAGTATTAGCAGAAAATAGAAGTGAATAAATTCTGAAATTAATTTAGAATTCTAACATACTCAGAGTAGTGGTACTAAGAGGAGATTGCATATGAAAATGTGAGCCAAGTTAGTAACCTGGATGGGAGACTTCCGGGGAAAGCTCACCTTGCAGTCTGTGTGGCTCCTAATGCCCCAGTAATCGTGTCGGCATCGCTAACTGTAAAAAAGGCACCATCCTTCGGATGAGACGTAAAACCAAGGTCCTGACTCTCCAAGGTCATTAAGAATCCCAGGATGATTCTCAAAAAGAGTAGGAGTTTTAACCCCGATATCATGGCCAAATTTCCCCCTGGGTTTTACCACTCATGACCTCCTAATACTCCTCATGTATGACTTGGCCTCATTACTCTCCTCTCCTCCCCACTGATAGCTGATGTGTGGTGAGCGTACTGGCACACTTTGGCTGTAATCTCATCATCCAAGTGGAAATTGGAGTGTAGTGTCCAGAGAAGCACTATATTACAATGATAACTTATTAATTACAAATATGAAATGTCACCCATATATCAAAAGCTATAATCATATATGTTGTATATACATATATGATCAATTTATATTCAGATAATTTACATTTGTTTTGGAACTATAGCTACGTATAGCAATTTCAAATGTGCTATTATAAATGTTGAATCATCACCTTAAACTTCCCTAAGTAAAATCAATCTGAGCTTTTCATGATAAAACTATAAAGTTATCCATCTTATCCGTTATATAGTGTGGTTTGCTTTTAATGCCTAAATTGCATTCTTTTTTTTTTTCAGGCCGCAAATCAGGAAAAGGATGTTATGTCTATCAAGAAGGAGTGAAAAACAAAAATGTAAATCCAGGAATTGAAGCAATTCTGGAGAAGTACAAGATGCCAGCTGACCCTCAAGTGTACGTTGGACTTTCTTTGGATTTTATTAAATGTTTTCTAAATCAACAATTAAAAACATCTCTCAGAAAAGGCTGCTGAACGTTATTGAGTAATGCCAGATATTTGTATAGTTTGTATAGCTAGAGGTCACCCTTTAGCCAAGTGGGTTAAAACCCGAAGGAATAAGTAAAATATAACTATATCCAAAAAGGTGGAAATGTGTCTTAAGGCATCACCATACAAAACTACAAAAAACAACACTAAAATTACAAAATAAATACACATTAAAACAAACAAAAGTCCTAGACATGCAACGATACAAATACTATACACACATCTCAATCTGCCCATGTTACTTTACTGTTATTCCTCATCCCATAGCTCATACATAACTATAATTGTAAACATATTTGTTGATACAGGGTTTGTCTGAAACTCTTGAAAGTCTAAATCTGAGACTTAGCATTTACAGGTTTGTAGTAAATCTAGTTATTTGTTGTACCCTTGATTTTAACCATTTTATTTCTTGATAGAGACTGATTTCCGTTTTGTACTGAGCTGAGAATCTTGCAGATTAACACAATTTCCCAGAGGCCTTGAATGAATGAATTCTGAATCGGACAAAAATTGCACTGTGTAATTCAAGCTACAATACTTTGTATATATAATTGATCTATGGCAGTTACAGAGGAATTGCCATTTTCAGAAATGTACTGTAGTTTTGTTCACATATGTAAAAGAGTCACAAATGGAAATGTAGCTTAAATACATGACATTTAAAGGGTAGATGTATTTAAGGGTGAAACATGCAGGAGAAAAATTTAGACGCCAAGTACATTAATATATAGCTCAGGTCATGTTAGTTAAACACATTGCTCTGTGAGTAAAGGTTAGGTATTTTTATCTAGTAAATTGGTTTTGTAAATACTGTCTGCCTTTCTTTATATCTGCTCGAACTGAGCTAAGTGAAACAAAAGGATTAAAAAATTGTACGTGTTTGTAGTGGGACTGATTTTACTATAAAATGGTAAGTGTTAACATTTCTTGGGCTTCCCAGAAGTCTTTTGCAAATCAAGGTTGTTTTTCATTCACAGGTCTTCGGATTCCGATATCCAGTACCGCCTCATCTCCAGGTTTGTGAATGAAGCCGTGATGTGCCTGCAGGAAGGTATTCTCAACAACCCAGTGGAAGGAGACATTGGGGCTGTCTTTGGACTTGGATTCCCACCTTGCCTAGGAGGTAAGAGTGTAGCTCTTTAACTGGCCATTGAAATGCTGGAATCAAGAAACAAAAGATGACTGGGGTCTCTTTTCAATTGAATTTGAGTGAATTTTTACATTTGCATCTCTCTTTCTAGGTCCTTTCAGATTTGTTGACTCCTACGGAGCAGATAAACTTGTTGAGAAGATGAGGAGGTTTGAAAATGTCTATGGAAATCAGTTCACACCATGCCAGTTGCTGCTTGACCATGCAAAGGATGCTAGCAAGAAATTCCACAAATAAACTTTGCAGCAATTCTGTTTATTTTCTAATTATGCTAAAATTTTGGAGCCTTTAAGATCTAACATTAGTCTTGAAAGCAATGTAATGGTAAAATCTAGGCCAGTTTAAACCATGTAAATGCATGTGTCATGTACAAATGCATTTAAGTGTTTAACCAAATTAAGCATTGGCATCGCAGGTCTGTTTTCCAAGGTGCCTTAGAATTACATGTGACTACTCAGGCACTTCTGTTTCTTTTAGCAGGGCTACAATTTGTTTGGGAGTTAATGCACTAGTAACTTGTAAAACCTGTAAAAAATGTTTTTTTTTTAAGAAAAGTCAAGCTTAGAAACCCATAGATGAAAAGGTTCTGAAAGCAGTGCACTTGAGTGCAGTGTTCCATTGTGAGAAATCTTGAATAAAAATTTAAATTGTTTAAACCTACTGACCTGGATTGCATCGCTTTTTCCTTTTTGAGTTTCTAATTGTTAAACAAGTTATTTCACCACAGCATGATTTAAAACATACAGACAAAAAAAGAAGCATTTGAAGTATGTACATCTTTCTTAACTGTTTAAATTCTGAGCATTGAAATAGCGATATGTTTCTGTATGTTTTTAGAAAACTAAAGTATTTTTCTGGATATTGATACTTTTGGTACAGTATCATTAAATTGATTAATTGGTAATAATTAACGGGGTTGCACTTCATTTTGTTGCATATTCTCTCATTAGTGAGCATTGGATGGATACAGGTCATGATATATAACCTGTTGAAGCTCAAGCTTGGTGGAAAAAAGTAAGTAAAAAATGGAAAAAGAAAAAAGTATTTTGTTAATATCAAGAACAAAACCCTTGCTAGCTACTTATGAAACAACATTGTGTTGATCACTTTGAAGTATGTCAGACAACACAATTATTGTTCTATACAACAAAACGAATGATGGGGAAGTCTGGGCAAGAGTGTGGTTGCTGTAGGAGTCTACTTGTAGTAATTGATGGTAGCCTGACTGCGCAGTGATCAAATCCTAGGACCTCACTTACTGCCCATCCTACTTGCTTACTCTGGCACGACACCAATCCAGCAGGACAAGGCATGTCTGTGTAGGAACCCTCTTCTCTGGCTTTGCCGTTCATTGAGCAAGAAAGCCAGGATGAGCTGGGAAGACATGTGGCATCCAGGGTCCAAAGACCAATGAACTGGCACCTGCTTGTCCAAGTTTTACACAAGAAATGGAACCAAACCAGAGAAAACAGCAACCTGCCAATTAGTATAAGGCATATATTGCAGATATAGTTTCCTTTCCCTCTAAGGTGGCAACACGCACTACTAGTCTGTAAAGCTCAAGTTGATACCCTGCTGATCAATCCCACTGATGAGAAATGTTAAGCAGCATTGTTAATTTATCTGTGCCCTGTCTGTTCAATAAAAAAGTCAGTTACCTAGTGCAAAAATATATTTTTTATAGAGAATTGGGAATTTGTTGCAGTTACAAGTGGTTTCATTTGAGGCTCAGGGCATATATGATAGAAAACCGTGACATTCTATATTTCAGGCTTAGTTTTAGAAAAACTTGGAAAGCTCTAATGAAGACCATCTCTGTTACAGTAATTTTGTTACATTTAGAAGAAGAGATTGAAATATGAGGGGTTAATATGTGATCTGCTTCAGTACAGTTCTAAGTGCACCTCCACCAAATATTATTCAGAATAATACAGAAGAACAATAAATACCATTTGGATCACTCATTGTTTAAAAATGTAGTTTCTTGTGCTCTATTTATTTTGCTAATCCATCAGGATTAAATCATACAAGAAAGAAAAAAAATCAGTACAATTGAAATATCACTACAATTGTTAAATATTATTATTTTATAACAATATTCTACTGAAGGAGAATGGGTGCTGTTCCATAAATATACATACACAAACTTTTGGGCACACAAATGTAGTTAAAAACCAGTCATTAAACTATCATTTCGAGCCATCTGACAAATAACACACTATACATCTCCAGAGAGCAGTGATTAGTAAGCTCAAATTACAGTCTTTTAATTCAATGTATTTAATTACAGGCATGTTCAGAACAATTTACAAAAGGCAATCTTTATTTCCCTTTAAAAGTTCTACTCTAATACGTAGAAAGTTACAATATTTTTTATACAAGTGCAGGTAACTGCACAGTTAAATGAACCCAAACTTCAGATGTGAAGGTTTAAAAAATGAAATGTCTTATTACATTGTTACCTTTCAAAGAAAAATTGAAGAGCAGATTTCAACAGAAAGGGATTATATTGTCCTGTATTTTCTAAAGTGTATTTGCTAACCACACTGCTTCTTATAAAGTCAACTGTACAGAATACTGGGGAATTCATGTAGCTCATTAAATATTGTATTAAGAGTGAGTAATCCATTGTCTTTGCTTCTTATGAATTAAACATAGTCATACTGTAGCTCACACATATTAATGTATTTTTATACTGTGTGAATTTGGTATGAAATGAGGCTTTCAAATCTCATTGTCAGCATCTGACATTAACAGACAAAAAAATGTAACAAATAATAGGTATCTGACAGCAAACCATGTCACAATTGAAAAACTGCAGTATTTCATTTTTGCTTCACCGTCCAATTCGTAAAGACAGAGTTCACCTGTTAGACAACATAATTCCATTTCCATTAACAGCTCTTCAGTAGGGGCACAATAACATTTATAAAAATAATCATCAATCATTTCTGGACACAGAAATGGAGCGTTTTATTGGTATATTACAGATAAAAGGCAACATTGCTTGTACTTCCCCTTTCTGTCCAATCCTTTTAATTTTTTGTCTAAGATATTCAATAGGTATAACAGTTGGTAGCTGCAAGATGTTTTTTTTAGGTTTATTGCAAGCAGCAACACAATGTTAAATGTAAACTTTGCTACTCTAAGGTAAGCGCATACAGTAAATCTCTTAATACTGTGAAGAAGGCTTCATAGTCTCGTTTTGGTTCTTTGTTGTGAAAGAACGTGGCAAGAGCTTTAAACTGTTCACTTCGGTTTCAAGGATTTCATACTTCTGAGAACTGTAGCAATCACATGAATGAGCGTTTTAAATGAGTTTCAAAATGTCAGAGAAGAGTCACAATGCTGTTTTACTCCTACAACTCTTCTAATGTCCTCTGACGTCAAAAGGGATCATTACAATTCATCATATAACTGATGATCAACAGTTTAAGGCAATGAAAGGTGATATATCCTTTATATCCTGCTGCTTTATAATGGTGTTTTCCAAGTCATGTTTAAACTAACCTCTATTTTGTGTTTTACATGCATTGTATTATTCAGAAATTACATATCCGCAACGTCAAAATCTAAATTTCTCTCATTTTACATTTTCTGTATTTTATTTATTGGTATGTGCTTTCAGACAGGATCAACATTGTACTGTAACAATGCAGAATACAAAATGAAAAAAAAAACATTTCCTGCACTCTGTAGGAAATCAGTGAACTCTAGAGTCCAAACAAACTTTGACTTTTTTTTTCCTTAAGATCTAAACTTCTGAAAGTGTACTATGCAGACATTATTTAACAATGACAGAAAACATCACTTCCGGATTTTAAAATTAAGGGAAAACTATGTTTGACACTTGCCTGCAACAAATGATGTAAAAGATAATACCTTTGTTGCCTGGGGTAATGTAATGAGAGTTAGTGAATGATGTGAAAGAGAAAATAAATTCTAATGAGGATCCTGCGATTCTATTTGAAAAAATCTCAGAAAGTCATTGTGCTTGATTTGTTGAGAGAGCTAACCCTGGTCTTGATTTTGTATCTTTGTGTGTTTACACAAGCCTGTGCAATAGAAAACACTGTTGAATGCTTCAATGCACAGGACAAAAAATACAGAGATTCCATGCATAATATTAAGTACTACAAGTGTTCTCAAAGATTCATAGTGCATAAAACTCAGGGTGCAGCCCGTACTAGTATTATTTCTGTCTAATCAAACTATTTGAAACACAGCAGAACAAGACTCTGGTAGTTGTTCAATATGCAAATGTGTTGTCATATTCAAAATAATTCTATATTGAAAACCATGGACTCTGATTAAATGAAAATGGGTTCAAATATAAATGGGCACATTTAAATGGAGGAACACACTTCCATTGACAAAACAGCGCACAACCAAGGGCACCACATCCGTCACCCATAATGACCAGAATGTAAACACAAACATGGTACACATCTGCATGAATCTCCATTATCTATGTCCATGCTTACGTGAATTCATGGGGTCACCTCGTTCTGTGTAAGTACCGGATTTTCTCTCTCCTTACAGCAGTTTTCCCAAAACTGTTATTTCAGTAGGTATTACACACTCTAGATTATTTTTGTAGCTTAAACTGTAACAATCATCTAATAAATGCACTTTTACAGAAATTTACTGAGAGCACTTCAATTAAACCTTAAACTCACACATTTTTCATTCAAACCTGATAGAGAAACAGCAATGCCAGTACTAAAGACTTAATTTGTACGTGTGCTGTACATTTTGTTTAATGTTGTTCTTCTTTTAAGATTTATAGATGTTCTCTAAACTGTTTGTATAATGCAGAGATGTTGCATTGGTTAATGAGAGGCATAAGCATACTGAGGAATAAAACTAAAAAATCTCCTGTAAGTTTACTGAAAACTGTCTTTCTGTAAACACCTTGACTAAGCTACAGGGAAGAAGGGAATTGTGTTTTTTATATCTAAGCCATCAAAAGTCCTACATACATTTTGTCCCTCTGGAAGTATGATTTTATTTCACCATCTAACTAAAAATCAGTGCAGCAGAACAACAAGTTGATGAAAATTACTTTTAACCATAATCCTGTTTAATTTACAGCCTTTATGTTTCTAATTAATTTGCCTGGTTTTGTTTCTACTTTGTTTATATAACACAGCAAGCTCAGAATTCATGAAGGGCATAACTTATCGGTCTGTCCAGATCCAAGCCTGAGTCACCAAACAAGCTTGATAATAGCCTTTAATTGTTGGTTTCTTAAGTTGGATATATCCAAAATAGTTATTTCTAGAACCTTCCGAAGTTATTTGAATACTGCTTCTGGCCTGTCCGAATCATATCATATAAAGATAGTGCCATCCTGACAGAACTACTATGACTGCTCATTTTATATGATGAATAATGTCAATTGCATGACTACTGCAATGTTACATTTCAGTACAACATCCAATAAAATTGATATTTAAGTACTGTCAACACTGCTGTACTATTACATGCTTTTAATACTCCAGCACATATCTGTGCAGAGGTGTCGAAATACTGTCAGCAACCTCACAGCAAATAACAAGACAGCAAGGATAATGTATCATTCTTAATCACATCATTATCCTCTGTTGAGTACTTTGTAGCAAACTTAGCCACGATTATCAATCAATTCACATGACTAAAGACACCACACCATGCAGAGATTTTGTCAGCAACACTTTGTTGTTGTAGAATTGGGCCATGCTCTTAATGTTAAATCATCTGTTATTGTCAAGAAAAGAGAGGCCAGTCCATAAATGGCAATTCCATATACAGTACCTTGTAACAGGTTCATTTAAATCTACCAACAAGTACTAACTATGTTTTTAAAATGTGATTTTTACGTTTACATGTGACAAATTCAGTCTGCAGTGCAGCATTGGAAAAACAAATCTGGAAAAAGGTCCAAATGTCCACAATTGGATACACTAAAACGATGGTTGAGTGCAATACTTCCTTGTAGAGGATGTATCCTAACAGAATTACTACAGACACCTCCTTGTGGTACAGTTCAGCTATTGAAGAGCTTTATAATGACACAGCCTTTTCTCCACCTTATTAAGCTATTCTCTAATACCATGGTTCTGGCTAGCTTACTGAAGATGTGGGTGTAGGTCACATTAGTACTGTAGCTTGTGCAGACAGTCTCTCTACTGTACCTCCATGGTAAAGTAATTTGTTTTCATTAAGTTTGCTTCCTCTTAATTTCAGGAAGATGTGCTTTTGACCTACAGAGGTTGGCTAGGAATTGTGAGGACAGTAATAGTAGTATGAATGTTTTTTTTTTAAATGAAAATCCCTTTATATGTTTTTTTAAGGAAAGTTATACTTAACTTTCTTGCATTGCTGCCTAAAGTGATTTGAAATATGACATTCCTTTTGTCTTCCACATTTCAATCAGACAGTCAGTGCCAACGTAATGACTGCATGGATGCCACGCCAATCTTTTTAATTTGGTTGTAGTGCATGTCCAAACTTTAAAAAAAAAACAGGAAACAAAACAAAAATATTACAACAGGCGTGTCTCTCTGTAGTACTTGTTTTTAGAAATATAGACAATTGTAGATGATACACTGAAGCAAATAACAGGGGAAAAAGTAAAGAATGGTTATTGTCTGCATGTAAATAACATGTAAAAACTCCCTGCCATGTTCATTTAAATGTATAATCAAATCTAAAATTAGAACTTATTTTGTTTTTATAATTATAGCTATTGACAACAATGACAATGTCTTGAGCAGGAGCTAAGCAAATGTTGAGATGATAATAGTGCCTAGAATACTGTTACTATGGGGGTCTGCAAGCCTCTTGTGATGTATCTGGGGGAGAAACAAATACATGAGAACTACTGCCCAGCTCATTCGGATGCAGGTAATGAACTATTGTCAACACCAGATTCCATGGTGGTTTTTAGGGACTTCAAACCTAGTACAATGTCAGTCCATTAGATTGTTTTTTGTCTGTTCAGCTGCACTTTCATACTCAACCTTGCATTTACAAATGCAAGACTGAAATTATCCTAAGAATGGTCAGAAAAGCAAAGCTGTCATTATTAGTTTTGAAATGTAGGTGGTTAGGGGATGTTTACTGGTTGTGCTTCGCTCCTAGAATATACAATTTAATATTCACAGTTTATGTGCTTTCTTTCTTTTTTAATTACAACATTCATGCATTGCTGGGCATTCCATACTACTGGATTTAGGACATTTTTCACATGGGTTGCAAACAAATAAAAATACAGATATACATTGTCACCATGTGATAAAATAAACAGCCACATTCTCAAATATTTTCGTACCTGAGTCAATTATACTGTTGCAGGACTTCTTATGAATAAAGAGTTCTAAAAATGAAACATCCTTATTAATGAAGGGTCGTCAGGGCAGAAGTATCAAAAGTGAACCACTGTCATCAGCTATAGCACCTTTTGAACTTTTTTACACTTGAAAAACTGTAATATGGAGACAGGGATTGTGGTCTCTACTGGGGAAAATTAGTAAAAAAGTTTTTGCTTTTTGTGTACTTGGGAAACTTAGGAAAATTCTTTAAAAATAGAATACAGTACATTCCCAACAGGATCCCTAAAGTTTTCTGATACCTCTCTTAATTTGTTTGAGAGTGTTGTTTTGACAGACCTTTGACAGAAGGATTGACAGACAGGGGATTGTGACTGGACTCATGCCTTTGTAGAAAAGGGTTTTGAAATAAATGCTATGATACTAAATTAGGTCATTATTCCATAACAAATCACATCTGAAAAAAATAGAACTGTTACAGTTCTTTAGTCCATAAAACCTTCAAATGTGGAAAATCACTGTAAATTCTCTTTTGTAACAGCACAATTTCCTATTTTCTATGTAGGACATTTCTCATCCCTACCAATTTCCCGCAGTTTTTGTTACAGGATTTTTCCTCTCCTCTGCTACCAGATTTCTAAGCTTGTTCCCTCCGGGCAGAGTGTGGATTTAAATTTTGGGCCTCCAGCCTTTGATAAACTGCATGATTTTCTTGACCTGTAGCTTTGTCAGTTTAAAGTCATCTGAAAGTATTTCTTCCGTCAGCTGCACGAAGATGCTCCCGTCAATGCGTTCCCGGACGAAGAATGTCACCACGTCTTCCGACAGGCCGATGAATCTCAGGCACTTGGAAACCTCTTCCACAGAGAGAGTGGAGAGATCTGAGGGAGGGTGCCACGCTGACCCATCACCATTGACTCGGGCCACTCCTGGTGCCTCGGTAGAAGGAGTCTCAGAATTGCTCCGGGCAGATACAGGTGGTACTTCAATTACTCCCTGGGTGAGGTACACTCTTGTGATGCCGCCTTCTGCACCCCTTACAATAGTTGGGGAGAGAGGAGCTGTGCTTCTTATGATGATGTTTTCAGTGTCAAAGCTTTTAGGTGGACGGGGAGGGGGCGCAGGCCCCACGTTTCCCTCCCCACTCTTAAAGATCAGGTCCTGGTAGCAGTTCCGCACGTCCTGACCGTACCTCGCGTCGCCTGAGTTCAGGGAAGCAATGTCCGGAGATGTGCTCCGGCTGTTTGTCGGGTCGAACAGATCAAAGGGATCCGAGGCCAAGGATGGGGATTTCTGGCGATCTCCAGGCTCCAGCCACTCTGCTGGAGAGGAGGAAGGACTGCAAGAGTATCCCGGATTGGCAAATGGGTTCAGAGCCCCAAAGGGTGCAAATCTTTTCTGAGAATGGGGAGGTTTCAGCCTCGGGCAGCTGTAATAGCTTTTATAAGCCGTGTCGGCGCTGAGGAGGGGTGTAGACCGTCCGCTTGTGACACTGGGCATGCTCTCTGCATAGGCCCAAGGGTCTGACCAGGAAGTCTGTACTGGCTGCACTCCAGGGGTCCCGTTGCTGCCAGTATACTGGCGGGTGGATGAATCCACAGCCTTGCAGTCACCCCAGGTGCAGGGATAGCAGTAGAGAGAGTAGGAGTCTGGGGAAGGAGAACAGCTGCCACTGCGAGTCCCAGCACTGGTGGGGATAAAAACAATCTGTGTTACAGAACAGCAGAATTAGGCAAACCTTTCTAAAAACTTTTTTTAATAATTTATGGGTTTTTTTGTAAAGATATCATGCCTTTTTCATCACGGAACAAAAGAACAGGTGAAGCAGTACCTTCTCTGATTCCTTCTCTAGTTAACAGTCTATAACAGTGGTTCCCAATCCTGGTCCTGGTAACCCAGACCACTGTCGGTTTTTGCTACAGCCAAGCCCTCAGTTACACAGTCAAACTTTTCACTGACTTGATAATAAGATTGATCTGTACTGTTTGTTCCCAGCTCTTACACTTGTTGGAGCTTTAACCGTTGTTAAACTTCTGACTAAAAACTAAATGAAAACTTTCCAATGAAGCAACGTCTTAGATCAACTAGGCTTCAATGATCTAAAGGTGTGATGGAATGAAAACTAGCAGGTGTTTGGGTCACCAGGACCAGGACTGGGAACCGCTCTATAAGATGAGCCTGCTCAGACAGGTCTATATTTTTTTTACCAGTTAAATCACCATTTTCTTCCCATCACTTCCATAAATGGCATTTCAGATATTTAAAATGAATAAATATAATTTATTAATCAGTTGGTATTACATTGAACTTTGCAGTGAAATACAGGTATCTTATCCAGTGGGGGCCTTGTACTTTCATTTGACTTCACACATCATTAACTGTGATTCACCTCTTTTTAAGACAGATGGACTTGTGGAGCACATTAAACTATAAGCACCATAGATTACAAAATCACATATTTACCATTTACTGTATAATAGCTCCTGCTCCTTTTTATAATATTCCCCACACATTTGTGTTGAAATTTCAAATGTCTGTGAAAGATCTTGCAGTGTGTGGAGAGAAGACTGATTTTCCTATCACTTCAAAAAGAGGGAGTTTATGTCAAAGCCCGATACCTGCAATCTCTTTTATGATAATGTAGAACTCTCCATCGTACCGAATCAGAATCAGTTTATCCTAAAAGCCATTTGGTGTTAACAAAAACATTATTTTTCATGTTGTTTTAACTGTGTGAATAAGGAATTAAACATGTGCAGTTTATCAGCGCATGTCTTTCAGGATGCATGCCTCACTGCCTAGTATTCAATGGCTAAGATACTGGTCTTGGTTCAGGCACATCAGTGTAAGCTTGAACAAAAATTGCTGACTACAAAAGTCAGTCAGAGTCAGAAATAAATCAAGTGCTGCTTCTAAGAATAATTCACATTAACATTTAACAGGGGACAATTTTTTAATTCTTAAATAATAACTTAAAAATCAAAACATACAGTAAAATGTTGGAAAGTACCTAAGAGGGAACTAAGTGTTACAGTATTTGAAAACATAGAACCAGTCATTACTAATGACTATTTTTTTTTTTAAGTGTAACATTTCATTCAGAAAGATTACCCACTGTGTTACATCAATACAATCTACCACTACACTATGTCAATAATATGTCAATATGCCATTAAAAAGCTTCACAGTAAATTAAACACTGCTGGTTCCTTCTGCAAAGAAGAATTTATTTTAATATATTATGGCTGTGAGACAGGAAAAGTCAAAACTGTTTTAAACGTAACAGGAGTTATTACAGAAAAAAGTCAATGGACTTATTTTCTGTAGAATCCAAGAACTATTTCCAAGTAACAAAATAGAATTAGCAAAGGTTACTGTTGTATGCAAGTTTCTTTATGTCACATGTCACAGGATGTCTCAGTGCAATCTGGCACCATTTCAATGGAAATATTGTGTTCGCAAATGAACACATTGAAAGTTACATTTACTGAAATTCTACACAGCATTATCTTCCAACTTAATTATATAACCATATTAACCAGAACAGAAGTAAACGTCAAACCACAAACAAGCTTTACTTCTGTAGAAATTCTGTGAAAAATAAAAGTGGTGCTGGCACAGTATTACACGGGAAGTTCTCTGGACTCTTGAATGTTAGATATCCATTTTGCATCTTCACTTAGATTAATCATGGTGGTTAGCACTGCTGCCCCACAGCTTCTCAGTTCTGGGTCTGATTCTGACATGTCAGAATATTCTCCTCATATACATGGGTATTGTCCAGCTGGTCTGGTTTCCATATGGATGGATAGTGTTCAAAGAAGTAAAGGTAGTTCAATAAAGATTACATATTTTGTACTGCTTCTGTTTGCCATCTGATAATACTGTACAAAGACGGAACACACAATACCTGGAGAATAAATGAAACTGGTATGACAGATATGGTATCTCAGACAAGTGGTTACCATATACAACATGTGAAAGCCAGTTCAGGACTGAGACTGAGCAGCTCTGATTGGCTCAATTACTTGATTGAAATGCCAGTCGAGCCAGCTCGTTCAGATGTTGCAGGCCATTGAACCAGACAACCAGTCATTATCCAGCTGTGACAGGGATTCCTCAAACTGAGGTGCTCAGTGTTTAAAAAGCCAACTAGACTTGTAGGGTTGAGCTGTGTGTATGAGACCTTGTGGTGTGATTCATTCCTCCAAGGTACAGTATGTTATGTCAACTTCAGATATTGTAGCAAAAAACATCATCAATGGCTGACAAGAACACATTTAACAGAGGATACAATCCTCACCCCTCCTCTACTGGGAAAAAATTAATCTGTTAAAAAATGCAGATTGTTCTGAAGAGAGTAAATGGCCTTGGAAGTAAAACAAGTGATGGAAGCCCGATTGTAATTATATGAGGATTCCCAAACCTTTGACAAAATGTGTTCCAGTCCAACACAGTGATCACTTCCAAATCTGATATTTCCCAATGTCAACAAAGTAATTCCCAACAACATCATTAGATTTACTTTCCCATCCAGAAAGAATCCAGGAAACAGCTGTGTTGTTCCTGTACAAATCTGATTTTAAAAAAACAAACTTTGTCAAAGGACTTGTGATATCCACCACATTTAGGCTGTTGTATAAATAGTTAATGGAGTTCTTTGAAATTACTTAGAAGTGTATTAACAACCGTTCTAATTTTCAAATTTTGAAATGAATTGTGAGGCAAGTGAGGAAAAGCAATTAGTTACTATGCTGAATGTAGTCTATTCTTTAAGACATCCAACATGACCTAGTTACAGTATCACACAATATTCATTTTATCTAAAATCATGCTCATGATGTTTTTTACTTTTTGTTCAATTGCCATAAGGGGAATATTTCTAATCTTTGGAATTTTACAGAAACGCCATATGTAATATACAGTATATATATAACCATCTTGGCAGCACATAATCAGTAACAAAACACATACAATATATCGTGTCAATTTCTCTGGAAGGACAAGTTTGGAGTCATGCGAAATGATAACCTGTAACAATAATGAGTTCCTCTGGGACTCTACATTTGTATTGCACTTCAGACTGCTGTCAGAATCAGAAAGGTGTCCAAGATGTGGTCCTTAGCAAGTTTTGTACACAGACAGGTAGGAATTATTTTCAGCCTTTGTTTCTTCTGCTGTTCTGTGGCTATGGACTGTTCGATTAAGAATGGGCCAAGAATGGAAAGCACTTCTGAACAAAAGGAGTAATTAGCAGGGTTATTGTTTTAAAATACATAATAATGTAACAGTGTCCCAGCCAAACTACTGTCCTTACAATGCAGAACAAACCTCAAGGATGAAATATGTTCTTCTGCTCTAGTGCATCAAAAAGCCTTTAGAGCATGGGAACAACACAAAAGGGGAAATGGACAGGAAACAGATTTTAATAGCGAAGTCATTTGTGCGGGGGAGAAGTCATAAAGGCCAAATCTGGATATGGCTATCACATCTGTGTGAATACGTTCACTTTTACAAAAAAAAAGAAGTCCTAGGATTGTCAGGTTTAAATTGCTGTATGGATTTACACTAACAATTTCTGCTGAGATCTCAAAACATTTCACATCACATTTCATTTAGACTGAGAAAACTGTGGCAAAGCGCTTACATGTCGTGAAGACCGGAGGAGTAGTAGGAGAGGCTGGGGTTTGGTGAGTGGTTGGGCTGGGTCTGGGTTTGATGGAGCTGGGCCTTTGGAAATCGAGGAGGAACTGGGGGGCTGGGAGCAGGAACTCCTTTGCTGCCTCTTGGAGGTACTGGGGGAGCATTTAAAAAGCGGCACTCTTCTTTCACCTGTACAAAGAACAAATTGTCTGTAATTGCACTGGAATTCTTTCTTTTCATAATATTCACGTGGACACAGTTCATTTCAACCCATTAGCTGTGCTTTTAACCATTTATTCTACTCTGCATACAGTACATCATCTGAACAAAAGATATCAGACCAAGTACGGTACCATAATATTAACAGCATATTCTTTACTTACCAAGCAGAATCTGATTAATTTAGTTTCCCTATTTCCTTCTTTAGAAACATAGTGTAATATATAAACAGAATGTGTTTGATTTCTTATTTAATTGGATGATAGATTTATTCAAATTTTTTTTATTCCTGTTCTTGAAGTCAAGCTTGAAGTCGAATTCCCATCAATATTCAATTTTAGACAGCGAATAATCTGAATAGAGTTCCTATTTTGAAAATAACAAAAGGCTTATTTTTAAGATACTCTGGAGACATAACCATATTAGGTTGTTTAGGCCCTTCATTAACAAGCACTCATTTTTGGTACGTTCTGGGTTTGGTTGAAACCAAAGCTATTCATTCTCAAGGTCCGTGGGAAAGGGAGGAAACTTTCTTCAATGGCAAAGCATATATTGCTGGATTTTACAATAGAACAAATGATCTTTCTGGTCACAGAGTTCCACCCCCAGAAACCTAACAGTTTTAGCCATCTGGATATAGAAAATGACACAGATATGAGTGTTTAGGATCACTGTGGGAAATAAATACTGTATGTTAAAAAAACATAAGACAAACTTCACACAAATACAGTGAACTGGGAAGGAGTAGAGGCATTTGCTCTGAGTGTAGGTTGAGCTCTATGTTTCTAGTTTCCATAGCACTAGACTTTGTGCTGTGACTCCCTCCTAAACAGTAAGCTAGGGTACAACAGCAGTGTTCACAGTTCACTTAAGTATTTGAGTACCCAGTCTTATGACTGTGAGTCCACATCTCCCCTACACTGCAGTGCAGTAACATTCCAGGGAAGGCTTCTCTGCTCGGCACTGTACCCTGAACCAAATAAGATGTACAGTACAGTCATGTCTGAGCAGCAATATGCAGTACAAACCATTTTACTATTTGCTTATTTATATTGCAGTCACCTATGCCCAACAGCACACAAGAATAATAGGTTGTATCTTCATACCGTTATACTGTATTTATAGTCATCATCTTGGTAAACACTTAAAGTCAATAAAAAAAACCTGTACTGTAGCTTTACAATGTAATCATGCTGTTTGTGTTGACATATGTCTACCATGCCCTGGATTCAGTGCGTGAGATGGAAATTTGTTGACAGGAAGTGTGTTTACTCATCACTATAGAAACCATCCAAGCCATTAAAAGGCCAAGGGCTGAAATACACACAGAACACAAAATATCTGAGAGTTTGAAAAAAATTGAATTTCTGTTCCAATATTTTTGTAGCGATCAAATAAAGGCTTGCAACCCTGTTATGATTTTTCCTTTTTTATTTCCACATTAAACTGTTCAAAATTGTGTAGGCAATCTCCAATTTATTCAACACTCTTTAAAGGCATTATTGCAATAATGCATTTAATTCAGATTTTCAGTATTACTTCAAATTTCTAGATACTCTCACTAGATATTATGCACATAGCTGAATTCATTCAAAAATAGCAGTAATATAAAATGCACAGAACAACAAAAATGTAACAATATTGTTGTCAGAAATACAGAGGGAATATCGGCATATTCTAATTGATCCATGAGTTAACGTGGCCTCCACTTGCTTTTAAATGCTTACTTAGTCTGAACCCTATTCCTGGTTTTTAAAATATTTATACACCTAAATGAATGATCCTTTCCAAAAGCTTCTTGAAAAAAACAAGTAAAAGCAAATTACTGCAATAAGCAAGGAGTTGCTGTTCAGCGAAGGAGATACTGAAAATTACATTTCTTCTCTTTTGGAACCGCATTAAAAAGCTATTTTAAACTGTGTGAATTATTTATTATGGCTCACTGGCCATATGTCAGAAAACTATAAAACTATACTAAACTATCTATAGTAGCATTCTGTTTACATTCTGTATACATTTTCCTCCAGTGATCACTATAATCACCATCTTGGAGTATATTGTAACACATATGGCCTCCATTGCTTGCAAGATCTGAGCTGGCTTACCAGAGCAGTGACGTCACCGCCCTCCACTGTGAATAGCAGGGGCCGCAGCCGCTGGGCTGAGAGGAGATCTCTCTTTAGCTCAACTGGCTGGGTCCCTGTTGAGTGACGCCAGAGACCCAGGTTCGAGTCCCCGACAGTGGGAGGGCCGACCTGATGCGGTAGCGGGGAGGGCGCCCACATGAATCCCATAGCGTTACAATATACTATACCTACTGCACTGCAGTTTTCCTATAATCAAAGTATTTTGTTCCACATTAACACAAGATTAATGGATATTATTTTAAGTGAAAGAAAGCCCTTCACACTGAAACAACATTATTTTTTTCATACAGAAGTAGAGCTTGCAGTAAGCAATGGTTTAAGTCATTATGTTAAAATTCTAAAAAAGAAAAATAATAAACAAAGCCACTGTGAGGGGAAAATAATAAAAATGTGGTTTTAAAATTTAAGAAGCATTGAAAAAAGCTTGGAGCAGCTCGATAGCGCGGTGGTTGGTGTCGCTGTTTTGCAGTTCTGGAGCCCTGAGTGGGTGCTATCTGTGTGGAGTTTATATGTTCTGCCTTGGTTTGCATGGGTTTCCTCCAGGTGCTCCTGTTTCCTCATTGAGTCCAGAAACATACTGGTAGGTTAATTGGCTTCTAGGAAAATTGGCCCTAGATGTTTGTCTGTTTATGTCTGCCTGCCCTGCGATGGACTGGCTTTCTGTCCAGAATGTACCCTGCCTTGGTCCTGTTGTTTGCTGGAAAAGGCTCTGGCTCCCCCACGACCCTGAATTGGAAGAAACAGTTAGAAAATACATGGGTAGATGAAAAAAGTTCACATCACATCACTTCATTCGACAGTACTAGACTGTACAGGGCGTCGAAACAACTTCATACCTCCTGAAGGCTTTCTGCCAGTACAATGAAGTTTAGAATTACCCAGAATTAGACCCATCTAATCATAACAAGGTGGCTCCTATCTGTTGTTTTTTACTCTGAATATCAGATATCACTTTAAAAGAAAAAATGGTGATTTTTTCGTTAAATAGATAAATATGCTCCATGGGACATAGATTAAGATGCATTTATTATCAAACAGGACAAAAGCTTCTCTGTATAACATGTGGTAAAGACTTCAAACGACAATTCTACAGATAAAAAAAAAGAAATGATTTAACTGAATGGTCTCATGAATAACACTGTCCCATACTGTACACACAATAACTAAGGTAAGGCTACAGAAGGAAAACAGTTCCTTATAAGCTTTTAAAGCTCCTTTCCTCTGCAGAGAAAAACTCCATTGTCTACTGTATACTGTATAAAGGGTAATAAAAATATTTAAATATCCATAGTTAGAGAAGTAAAATCTGTAGGTGCATTAAAATAATCGAACAATTAAATTGTTTTTCAGCCAGTATTTCAAGCAACTCAAACCTTTATCCTATTACAACAGATAGTGTACAGTACATAATCTTAAATCTTAAATCTAAAGGCTATATATATTAGGGATGACTAGTACAGTTTAGAAATAATCTGAATAAATGGGATGTAAAAACCCAATATAGAAACAAATACCATTGCTCAGGTCTATAGAACATTATAACTGGCTGACACTGCGATCTAACCTCTTAATGGTACGATTACAGAAAGAAAAGGGCAGGATGGCAAGCCAGTTGCAAGCGTTCATATTATAGTTTTGAAATGACAGACGTGGGAGAAATCCGGGCAGTTTCATGCCAGGTTCTCACTAGATTGTGACACTGACAAATTATAGGGGAACATGCAAGGCTTTGTGAGGAAGTCAGCAGAGGGTATAATTCAGAGAAGAGCAATATGCTGGAAAGTCTGTTCGCTATTGACAGCCAACTCCTCTGCTTGGTTCTACACAGAAAACCAAACTCAATGGAAGACTTCAGGGCTTAGGCACCGTGTACAATGTTAAGTACTGCTAATTATTTTTTGATATTTTTATTTTTCATTTGCTAAACGATTTCAAAATGCAAAATCAAAGCACAGGAATGCAAATGTAAAAATATAGTGATTCTGTGTGTTGGCTGAAAAAGACCAGATATATTAAAACAAAATCTCCTAACTTGCTTACCTATAATTTTCTCCTTGGCCATTAACACAAAGATTGTTCTATTGTATATGTGAGAGTATCAGTTGCATGAATTATTACAAAGGATTTTATCCCTGCTCTTGATTTGATATATAATAATTGATATATATATAGATAGATGTTATATAAGCTTTACATGTTTGGCTACAATAGCTAATTAAATATACATTTGTTATATAAAGTATACTGTAATTTTATATACTGTAGAAAACTAACCTGCTTTGGAAGCATGATAAAACTCAGAATTGAGAAGTCCTATACTGAAGTTGTCTGTACCATTTATTTCCAAACTTTTGTATTAATTTTGAAATTAATAAAACAAAAAAATGCAGAAGCTCACACAACAAAGACAAAAGGAGCTTAGTAAACATGTTCTGAATCAAGAAGTTGCAATTGATCACCCATCCATGTTTCTACCCTAGTAAAATTTAATCATTTCTTTAGTTTTCTTTCCAGAATAGTTTCCACAAATCAATATAACCAAGTGTGAGTTAAAAGTATCTATCTCTACCCGGCTTTATAAAACAGATTTATTTAGCTGCAATTAGTTCGGCAAACAAAAATGTTTGTGCTTCAATGTGCTTGATAATTGAGTGCTTATGGGCTCAATGGAAAAGTCACACCATTATATCCAAGGTCCTAATTCTGAATCCTAAAACACTTAAAGGTAGGTACCAGATCTGGGCAAACCTAAGCAGGAGATATCGTCATCACAAACCATCAATGTGGGGTTTTGTAAATACATTAGCTGGTATGTTATGTTTTTTAAAGAAAGAGAATCGTGCCACACTCAATAAGGACTAACATCCAGTTTCTGAAATTCTTTATACAATACTAAGGCACCTGGGTAGAGACCAATTTTTGACAAGAGATTAATGTCATATGGAGAGGAACATCCTTGTGGTCACATTTGAAACAACCACATAAGCCACTTGGTGACAGGTTAAAGCAGTGCCCCGTGGCACTCCATTGGGACAAAGGGCAAAAGAGTCTGAGATAAAGCAAATACAGTAGGTAAGCTGAGGGAGTGAGGAACTCCCCCTCAGTTCTTGAAACATGCACAGGCCATGGTGATCAAAGACATCACTAAGGGTGGGCAAGTAAAGGACTGACAACCTGTCAGCAAGAGGAAATTGTTCCAAATTTGTGAAAGCTTCGGAAATTTTTGGGGCTGCCAAGAAAGCAGTTGACTTTCCTCCAAATGTGAGTTTGCAATGACTGGTCCTATTTGAAAAGAGACAAAACCTCTCTTACAAGCAGAATTTAAGACATCCCAGTGCCTAATTGACTTCATTAAAGCTTCCTCAGTTAGGCTCCCTGAGGCTAATGCTGTGGAATCCAAGCATGTTCAAAACACACTCTACTGGAAATACCAATTGTTGTTATTGAAATTAGGTACAGAAAGGCTACCAAGACCCCTGATGCACTGTACTGTCATCCATGAGAGCCCTGGCTGTTCCCTCTCTAAATGAAACTAGGTATAGTATAACAGACTGGGTCCATTACTTGTCTGCTGAAAATTACAGGAAATCTTCAAATCCAGATAAGTTAAACCTGAATGAATAGAAACATGGGGTTGAAAGAGAAGCTGTCATACAACAGCTGTAGAGGTAGAGGGCTGTAGAGGTAAAATTTTGACCATTGATTTTAATGTTATGTCCAGAGCATCTACTAAAGTTATCAAATGTTGAATATATAGGGAACTGAACTAGGAGTAACAGAAAGAAACATTAAGATGTCACCACCATATTGCCATCATATTCCCAACATTTTTTTTATGCCTTGTCTTATACAACACTGAAAAAAGTGCACCATATGGGGCCTTATGTGAAAGCTAGAATTCTTTCAGGCTTATTAAATGTATGTGTATCTGAGTGCTAAGCTATGACATTACACCCCTCAATCCATCCACCCTTTTACTAACCACTTCTTCAAATTCAGGGTCACAAGGAAGCCGGAGCCTATACCAGCAAGCAATGGGCACCTAGCAGAATACAACCTGAACAGGACACCAGTCCATGGCAGGGCACACACAGACTCAAACACACACTGTTACGACCCCAAGTGTCTAGGGGAAAAGGGGTGTAACATTTAGGATAATTCTTCTGGAAGCAGGGGGGTTTTGGTGAGGGACTAGGAAACGTGATAACAAGAGTAAGGAACTAGAGTGGTGCCAAAGAAAAGAAAATAACAAACAAAATGGAGCTGGCTAGGACAGTGAGGGAAAGCTAATCTGACTACAAAAGAAAGACTACAAAAGTCTTCAACACCCTAGCTAATCTGCACTGACTACCCAAAACCATACAACACAAATGGCACTCACCCGTACTAAACTAGTGTACTAATACAAAATCAACTAAGTGTGTAAGTGTACCCAACAACCTAAACTAACCTTATATACAAAAGTTCACACAAAAACACAAGTAAACCAGGAAGACAAATAAGGGAAAACAAGAGTAATGTAGGTATCAAAAACCAATTTAAATATAAAATTGACCTTTTTAGTTCTGGAAATAGAAGACCACAAAGTGACCTTATTACAAAGTCTCAAAGGTGTTGACAAGGCAACCCAGCAGATTTCTTCACAACCAGCAGGTACAAGTGGAAACGATGGAGAAATACATTTCACACCATGAACAGGAAGTACTTCTCTACACAAAGGATTGTGGGAGAATGGAATAGGCTACTAAGTTGTTGCTGATACCCTGGCTTCTATTAAAAATTGGCTGGAAGAGATCCTTGTATCAATTAGCTACTAAATATCAAATGGGCTAAATAGGCCTCCTCTGATTTGCAACCGTACCTATTTTATGATATCATTCTTTTCAAAGATGAGATATGGTGCGGTTAAGTATTCATTTGTTTAAGTTATAATATTTGCTTTTGCCAATCAATTGTCTTAAGAAAAAGTAAGCAATACAAAAACAAACAATGGGCAAAGTACTACCAGATGCACTAAAGCTTGATTCATATAGACATATTAATTTTAGTCTGAGACTCAGTCTTAGAATTACTTATATGATTAACTATGTACCTATACTGTAAATAAAAGAAACTGATGTGTTACTGACCCAAAACTACCCTCTAAGGATAAAGAGCTAAGGAGCAAGCAGTACTTACAGCTTCAGATTTGGGAGGTACAGGAGGTGGAGTTGGCACTTTGTTCTCTTCCATTTGCTTGACAGCAATGTGTGAGGGTCCCATAGTTCCATCTAAAGATGTTGTGGATGAATGGAAGGAAATGAGATTTGGTTCCCCTTTTCCTCCACATTCTGACACCGCTGGATTCCCGCTGGCTTCTGTATAATTCCCAGGGTTTTGATTGGTCCATAATTCCTCATAGGGGATCTCGGGCTGATCTGCAGTTCGGAATTCATTTTCTACCCAGTCAGGCGTCATATACTCCCGTTCGCCTTCCCCTCCCTCATTGGGGGTCAGGAGTTCGTGTGGCATAACCTGCTGCTCCCCTAAGGAATCCCTACAGCCCTGAGAGTGAAGGTCCCCATTGGTGTGCATCAGCGTGCCACTGTAAACACACAGGGACAGACGCTGGAAGGACTGGGTCAGCTCCTCACGTGCGTAGTTCAGCGAGTTGGAAGTAAAGCCCTGAAGGCAAACGCGGATGCGCCGGGGGCTGGTGCACTCCTCTGTGAAATCCGTTTTCACTTCCCGCACCGCCTTAGAATACTCGTCGGGGTTGAAATGCTCTTGACAGAAAAGAGAGGTCTCATGAGCAGCCTTCTCAAACAGGGGATCCCCCCGGAGCAAGCCCTCGGGAAGCAAGAACCGGGGCATATCAGTCAGCAGCAGGAAGTGAAAAGGGGTCACTTCCTCCTTCCTCAAAATGCAACATAGGACCACCGTCTTGGAAATGATGCTCACCAGCTTATAGCGGTGGCCTTCCCGGATAATGTGGAGATCGTAAAGGTTCCTGGGAGGGCGACTTGGTACCATAACATTAACCGGCAGTCGGACCTTCTCGATGATGCTGCGGATTGTGTGCTCGCCCTCTTGCATCTGGATCTCCAAGGGGCTGCGTGTGCTGAACTTGCCTTTGCACTGAAAGGGCAGGCTGATGCTCTCGTTGGTCCGGTGGTTCATGCAGATCAGGCAGGGCATCTTGCCTTTCACCTGCTTGCTCAAGGTGTTGGACTTGCCCAGCTTCCGGAGGATGGTGTTGAAACGGGATTTCTCCTTTACTGTTTTGGCACACAGGATTTCAGCCTGGCCCATTAGTGTAAGTTCGTCACCAGCATGCAGTGTGAAATTATACGCTTCACTGTCTTCACTGAATTCCCCTGAAACAACCTGCAATGAAAGCATACACAAGTGAGGCATGGCCAGTTTCAACTTTACCTGAGATTGAATTGCCAGTCAAATGGGGCATTTGACACTGAAGTCTTAAACAAAGTAAAGCCACAACACAATAAAATGTGGCAAATGAGGAGAAAATAATAGATGATAAAATTCACGTAAGAGCAGTCCTTCCAAATGAGGGATTGCAAAAGGTACTATTGACTGCTCCAAAAAATAACACTGTCAATGTTCACTGACAAAAGAAAGAAAACTCTATTGAAAAGAGCTTTCATATGTTTTATGGATGTACTGTACAAACTGTACAGTTCAAAATGTTAATTCTGTACTTGTTTTCAGGTGTCAACTTCCGTTTCTGTTATGCTGTTTGTGTTTCATATTTGTTGTGTGGCCTTCACCTGCAAATTAACTGCAACAAAATCTGGGTTTGCATAACAAACCTGCACAGAAATTAGAAAGAAGAAAAGCAAATATGCATGAGGTCGTGATGAAAGAACTGATAAAAGCAACTTGGAATCTTGTGACTTACTACAGCAAAGGGATGGGTTTTGAGATCTCAAGGCCACTGTTGCATTTGTGATCAAATCTCTTTATTTTTGATGTCCTGAACCTCAGGAAACAGACTGTAAATAATCCAAGGAAGCACTAATAAAGTATATGAGATGGTCAGAACATTTTCAGAAACATAAAACAGATATAAGTATTCACAATATACTATTTTATCACATTTGACCAATAAAACATCATTAAATTAACAAAGCACAAGCAAACAACAAAATAAAAGCCAACCCATTACACATATATCACACATTTAACAAATATTTAATAAATCCCAATAAAGAAGTGAACCAACAAAATAAATATTATATAATCTATATAATATAATCTATATGTATTATGAAAGTATTACAGTAACCATGCACTGTTCTAGAGGCAAGTAAGTAGTTATCTGAAGTGCTTCCTGACAAAAATACAGGAAGACATATAAAAGGAGAATTTTGAAAGAGGACAGGATGCCTTTAAATAGTTCTTCTTCTTTTATTCAGATTTAACAGTTTATACAATTCCTTTTCCACTCGGAGGCAATATTGAACTGCCACTTCTTTCTCCTAAACGTGTAATTGAAAGTGACAGTAAATGCTCAGGCATTTGACAATAATGCAGATTTTAAAAGGTTCAGTGATGTGGAACTTTTAACAGAAATATTCTTGTAAAATGGCTGATGCACCATCTGCTGGAACAAAAGATCTAGGCTGCATTATGAGAAAATTATAATATACTTCTCAGGAAAGTCTATCACATATTCCTTCTAACACCACACAGCCAAACACCAAAACCATATAATTCTATTTGTAGTACATAATGTGGTTGAAATGTATTACGGGAACTGTGATATTCCTGCTAAAATAGCTCAAATATATCATAACAGTAAGTGTTAGTCATCTTGGATAAATGCACCTACATCATAATCGGAATGCTAAAACTACTGTATGCACCAAATAAAAAGACAAGACTGCCAATGGATCAGAAAAAAGTACAACCATGCCACTGGAATGCCACTATGTCAATTTGGTAGTTCAGTCAAATTCTAACAATGATGAAATAAGACAGCCAATATAAAGGAGTTTTATAATTTGGTGCTAATTATCCTGGCTGAGGAAATTCAGGGCTTCCACTTCCAAGGAATGAGCCAGAGAGCCGCTGTAAATATGAAGTTGGGTTGGAGGGTGCTAGAAAAGCGGTGTGGAGAGTGGGCACTACGAGAGTTTTTCTATGTATAGTAGGAGCGTAGAAGTTTAACATTAGAATATGACCATTTCAAGAACGTCTGTTAAATAATACCACTTATTAGTTTTATTTCTTTATAAGTATCTTGGGGAAGACACAGTTGTACAGAAGTGCCACACATTGCACAATTTAGTCATAAATATTTTTTTCCTGTATCACAAGTATTTTAAATTTACTTTAGCTGCTTAAAGTATGCTATTTAAATCATAAAAAAGTTGGCAGCAAGCAGCAATCACTATGTGGGCAAACCACTATTTAACAGTCAGGAGTGTGTTTTGACAGAACATTTATGGATATTCCTGTCTCAGAATATCCATGACCCTCTTTGCAGTCTCAAAGGAGCTATAAGACTGTTTTGTATTTCACCTTAAGAAGAAGTCATAGGTCACAAGCAATATTACTTCTGAATTCAGCACTGATGGATTTTTGTACCGGACCATATGACTCTATGTTCACCAGGTCACTTTAAGGCAGACTGGGATTTCAAAAGCTGCCCTGAAAATTGAAAGACATGAATTAATACGTTTCATATCATGCTTTTGTTGAGCTGAAAATGTATTATATCAATGAACAGCTGAACAATGTTGTTGAAAGATTTGAAAGTGCCCATTATATTTAGGTTTAAGAGTGAATAGCTGATGAGTATTACAGGTTTATTGGGCATGGGAATTAACCACCAGTTTTAATCTCAGCAAAGGTAAAAAAATTGCATTCACGAATGAATATCTATCAATTTAAGAGCAAGGGTGGCACAGTGGTTAGCATAACTGCCTCACAGTGCTGGGGCCCTGGGTTCAATCCTGGACCGTGGGCGCTATCTACGTGGAGTTTGTATGTTCTCCCTGTGTTCACATGGGTTTTCTCCAGATGCTACGGTTTCCACCCACAGGCCAAAAACATAAACATAGCTTAACTAGCTTCTGGGAAAACTGGCCTTAGCAGTGAGTATGCATACCTGTGTTGTTTCTGTGTGTCTGTTCTGCTATGCACTGGTGTACCCTGCCTTGCACCTGTCGCTTGCTGGGATAGACTCCAGCCCCCCCACTCCAACACAACCATGAATTAGAAGACGTGATTAGAAAATGTAAAAGTGCAGCTTTAAAATCTCATCGTGTCTCGATTCCATATGCTTATCCTAGTTACACTACTGTCTATCACAAAAGTATAATGCAATATGTCCAAATTACCTACTGTATGCCTTCAATTTGAATTATTGCATCTATCTTATAGATATAATCTTATTGCAGCTATATTTTTTTAACATAACATCTTGCCAGGAAAACTCTTGACCTACTGTATATATATATCATGTTTTGCTTTTGTTCATCCTAAAGTTTTTCAGAGAAATAATTTATTTTTACCAAAACGTTATACAGTGGCAGAACCAGATGACCAATCACTTTGACATGATCATCATTTTGTAATAGATTTGACAAAGAACAACCTTACGTTAGTTTCAAACGTCTGAAGATTCAGTTACAAAAAAAAAACACTTTTCAAGATTTTGTCAAGAATCCAGTACAATGCCCAAGTCATAGGGCATGCTGATGTAATTTCCACTCTGACACAACTTCCAACTTTTTAAAATGATAGTAAAAGGAAAATAGTATAACAACTCTTAAGTTCTTGAATTGTGGGAGTATAGAAGAAGCTACTCAGCAATGTGATTGTCGATACCCTGGCCTTTTTCAAGAAACTGCAGGATGAGATCCTTAGATCAATTAGCTACAAACTACCAAGCAGAATAGATGGGCCAAGTGGATTCTATTCATTTGTTGCCTTCCTTAAGAAATTAAAAGATATTCATGAATTAAAAAAAAATTGAGTTCCACTACAGACACAATAAAGAACTACTATTACTTCACTTTATCCTTGAACTAAACTGAAAATGACTTGAGTGAAATGTCTCAACAACCAAAATTATAACGGTAAAATACAGTCAGAAAAATCATTAGCAACTGAAATTAGAACATTTATTATTGTATTTCAAAACTTGCATGTAAACTTGGTCTACACAGGACTAACTAATAAAAATCACTTCTCCGCATTATACATTTTAATGTCCCTTTACTTCAAATTTACGGACAAGCCCTGTCTAAAGAAAGCCACAGCCACAAAGCCCCTTTCAAGAGACTAAAAGGACACTGACAGAGAGGATCATCAGCCAGTTACAGTACATTACTTCTCACGAAATGCACATTCACAGAACAAAACCCCTAACCTGCAGTAACTGGTCTCAAAAAAACTATGTTCAAAAGAAAAGCTCAAAAGACTCAGAACCAGCACTGCATAAATCTTCCCCTTTGTCATAAGCTCACATCATTCCATTAACATGTTAGGGTTTCCTGAAGTAGCCCAAAGCTGTGTAGTATTCAGTTCTGTGAGGCACTGGGATTTCTTGGCAGGATTGGAGAAAGTGGAAATCTAAAGTAAATATGCCACGGCAACATATCCCACAGAGACTAGCAGGGGAGTTTTTAAAAAATGTTTGGTCCAGAGCAGAATTTGTTTTCAATTGGTGTTTTTAGAAAAGCATGATCGTGATGGTTGTTATCATCTTGGCGATCAAGCTGGAACGGCATAGCGGCGCCACATGTCAGTGAGTGCTGCTTCCTCACTGCTCTTGAGTCCTGGGTTCAATTCCAGTCTAGAGAGTCTTTTTGTAGGGAATTTGCATGTTTGCATAGGCTTTTGCAAGATACTTTACTACTCTGCTTCTCTACCCGCCACTAAAGGTATAATAGTCAGGGTGATTCTCAGAATTATCCCTATATGCTTGCTGTGCACTTTGCAATGCACCCAAGTCCTGTGCACTTACTGACACAAGTGGAAGTAAGTGGCTTTCTGACAACTGGTGGGTGTTTGAATGCTATAAAGTTTGACATAAAGTGGACAACATTAATTAAATTAATGTTTTTCTTTTTCAAAATAACTAATTCAGAAGAACAAGCAGAGCAAAATTGGACTGCAGGGAAATGCTTTGAAAGTTGAATTCCATCAGAAGGCTTTATCTCACATATAGAAACACGTTGGCTAATGGTTTGTCATTGTAAGCAATTTAGAAATAATTTGCATCAGAAATTGTCGAACCTCTAGGATGAGGGTCTAATGAATTTCTTGTTTTATAAATCAATAATGTATAAGTATTCCCAACATTAACAAACAGGTCATTTCAGTTGGCCTATAAAGCTTACTAGACTGGGGCTTTGTAGGACCGAGGGTAGGAACTCCTGGCCTAGACTATTGCAAAATTGAAAGTTTTGGTGAATATCCAGTGTGTTTTAAGATGACCTGAATTTGATCTATCAATCTGACTATTCTGCCTTTGGAAACATCTCCAAATTTGTATTATTTTGATTTGGCAATTCTATTCTTATCCTGACTCCCAAAATAAAGTTTCCTATTGTTATTTACCTCAGCTCTCCCATTCAATCATTGCAGCTGTACCAACCAGTGTGAGATGAGGGACTTGTAGTTGACAGAGCCAACTGCTACAGTTTCCATACTGACAACACCTACAGGAGAGTCAGCGTTGAGTTATCCTTTCTGTTAAATCCAGGTTGGGTCTGACACACATCTTAGTGCTGCCCCTAACAGCCAACACTTTGCACAGGGACTCAGTCTGTGTCTTACCCTGTGCAGACTCACTCAGGAGGCATCTCCAGGCCTCCATTAAGTTATCAATGAGGTGTACCCCATTCTTCCAATGGAGCTCCTTTTTTAAGGTCAATTCCCTGTTCAGCACTCAGACATTGAGCGAAATCTCAGTGTCACTACCTAGAACTGAACTTTCTGTATTCCATCACCGTAGAGCACTGACTGGAGAGGGAATTCTCTCTTTCCTACTGTCGCCTTCCCCTTGAGCCACACTTACTCTCCTCCATAGCAAGTCTGCTACAGAAACAGGCAAATTTCACTTCCCGTTAAATGCTCTGAGTCCCTCTGAGAACCTGCACTTAAGAGCTGAGCTTACCATTCATCATGGTCCCTATATGTCAGGGACCAGATCTTAGCACTTTCTGGCTGCAGCACACCCAGGCCTACAGTGGACTGCCAGGACTGCTCATTGCACAGCCCAGACCTGTACTGGCGACATCTGGACAACATGTAAGAAACATGTAATAGGTTTATTCCATGCTGAAAAAAAGAAGAAAGGCCGTGGAGCCTTCTTCAGGTGTTTTCAGCATGGAATAAACCTGTTACCTGTTCCTTTGCAGCCTACGCATGCTGACGCAGCTACCCACCTGAACATGTAAGAAACATGTCCCTGTAACATACAAGTCTAGTCCCTTTAGCACCCAAATGCATGATAGGTTTGTATTATCAACTAAGAAAGTGCAGAAGATTGAGTATAATGCTGGCACTCTCTTTCTCTCTGGTTTTGTTTTGTTTTTGCTCCTAGCTTTTCTCTTCTATATCTGACATCCTACACTCCACACACTGTTATCAACAGAGACAACCCTTCAGCAGGTATAATAGCTCCAGAGAGAAGTCACAAACTCCAAACTTATTAGACACCAGGTGTCGTCCCTCAGCTGGGGTTGCAATTTGGTAAGGTTAACAATCAATGCAGATACAGTGATATAAAACAATGCAGACAACTTTGTTAACATTCCAAAGTTTATGCTACTTCCCAGAGTGAAGCAATAAATGTCACTGGATATTTGCTAAATTACACCTTTTTTATCCATAGAAACTAATTTATGAGCATGATTCCACATTAATTAAAAGTCACAATAATTACACCTCACCAAAGGAGTTACAAATCAAATGATACAAAAATGTTAAAATCCTATGTACAGTAACAACAGTATGCAAGGTATTTAATAACAGACATTAAAGTTAAAAGAGGCCCCTGCACCCTCACTATGCACTCAGCCTCAACACATCTACATGCTTATTTCATTTTCTTACATTTCTGCAACCAAAATACAGTTGTATTCTTAGCATCACCAACCTTCACACTAAAAGTAATGGCCTCCATCACAAATACTCTGTCAGGAAACACACTTGCTATTTCCTCCACACTGCTGAAGTACTGTATAGGTTCTCTCACATCCCGGTCTTGGTCCAACAGTTTAAACTTCCCTGTAACAAAAAAAACATGGATATTAGAGATAATCCAGTCTTTGGACAGAAATTATACTTTGTATTGTACTTGTATAGTAATATTATTTCACTAAACTCTAAACATTTGTGTGTTTTGTTGATCAGACAGAATGAAAAGCAAAGAATGTATCTATGATTTTATCATTTTTATAGGTTTATTCATACATTTTCAAGCAGAGGTTTCATTGTTCATATGGAGTGCTCTGAGGATGGAAGGAATTCATAAGAGACCAATTAATAGTGCTTTGAGTTTGCCATTATTTTTATAATGGTCTATAAAGAGCAGTTTGCGTAATGCTGAAATTAGCCAGACTATTCCTAGAATTAATCTGTTAATTTACAATTAAATGGCGACACACTCGTTCTCAAAACAGAAAAAAGGTCAATGGATCGCAAAGAAAAAACTGTATATAGTACTGTCAAAATTAATCCTTTGATTGTTTTCTGACTTTACCGTTATTGAAAATGATATGATTGAAAGATCGAAAGAAGAGCACAAAGATGTAAATCAGAGCCATGAATGAAATCCTTCTGATTTCAAGAGCTGCTGTAACTGTGATAATGAGCATGATAATGATATCCTGAAGAAATATAAATCAATATAAGGTATTACAGAGATGCCAAGTGCACATACAAAGATGAATAAGGATGAGAATATATATAATATATATAAGAATATGTAGGATGACAGAAAAACAAGAGTTTCCGTGCCTTGGATTAAATAACTGAACATTGGTACCTGGAACAGTGAGTTCACACTCTAAGTGAGAAGTGGGATTTCTTTGCTTTTTGTCCATTTAATTAGTGCTTTATTGCTGCAATTGCGCTTTAGAAATGGAATCATTGTGTTATGTAGAAGAACTCTTCACAAGAATTTCAGTATTCAAAAGCAACTAGCAATGACCAATTGAAGTGCACTACGAGCTATTCATTACTCTTTATATGAGACCATTAATATTGAGGGAAATTCAAAAGTTCAATGTCTGGAAGTAAATCAGCACTCTGTACTGGTTTGGTAGGATACTTGGTTGGAGTTAATGGTGCATGTTTACTTGGTGGAAGAGAATGAGAAAAGAAACAAGGGAACATTGTTGTTTAACTATTAAGATCTTGAACAATTAAAAAAAAGTAAAGGTCACTATAAAAAAATAGACTTTGGAACTTACTAAAATTGTCATTCAATTTTAAGAGCATTGTTTGCATAATAAAAGAAATATATATTTTTTTAAATAACAGGAGAATATTTTCCAAGGACTTAAGACCAATTACTTATTATACGAAATTCCTGTGGTGTTAGTGAGTTGCTAAGTTCTCAACGCCAGTTTCCAAGTTAGTTGTCACAGGTAAATGATTTCCCATCTGTGACTGCAGCTAAGCAGCCCAGTTGACCCAGGAGTTCAATTCTTTGCTTTTAATGAATTTTCTTGCAGAATATTTGACAGTGCTGATGATGTTTATCAGCTGTGAGTGTAGTTCACACGACTCTGAAGACCCTTCAAGTTCCATCGCCTAGCAACAAGTTTCTTTCCCATTTCCAAAGTAGCTCTCTCCAACCACTGAGCATAATTAAAAAGAAAACTATGCAGACACTTAATAGCAGATTGATAGAAAAGCTCATCGGCCTGGCAATGCACAATGCTTCGTCTTGTCACTTTTTTGATCTGTACTGTTCCTTGTAATCACTGAAAAAAATCCACATTCCCTGTATAGTCTTTCAGAATATGATGCATTGATCCAAGATCTCATCTATCGTTTAGATAAATCACAGCATGTGCTGTATATCTGATCTGCTCCCACAAAGTCAACCCCACTTGTATTATTAACAAGAAATTCAGTAGTTGGGTTAGATCTTTATACAAAGTGAAGGAGAGACAAAATTTGCTGAGTATATTTGGCGTAGTTTGTCTGGCTGAGGGAGCTTGGCAGCCTCGCCCAGATGCTGTCTCTGTGTTGTGAAGATTGAACCAGGTAGTTCCTGGGGGGGGGTGTGGAAGTGGTGGTGGGAGAGGAACAAAAGAGATCTGCTAGGTGAAGTCACAGGCGCGAGACTTACCATATCTAACAGACAAGTGGAAGTGTGCAAAATTAGAATCTACCCAAATTTCTACTAAAACTTCTATTCAACCTGTTAATATTCCACTAATGCATTCCGCTATCATTACCCTCGATGCTAAGATATGAATAAGCAGAATTAAACTTTTGGTGAAAGAAAAAATATGACTTTGAAACCAAGATACCTACAGTACTGTACATGTGTGTGCCCTTTGCAAATTGTATCATCTCTGAATGTGTAAATAGATTTGCTTACTTTTTCATAAGCTGAGCAGTTGCTTGATGAAATCATATCGTTCCTCAATGGAAAAAATGTTGACCTAATGACATCTAAAATCTTCTTTTTGATGCACTTTATTCACTCTGTTACTACACTCTTTCATATAAAATACCAATCTATTACCGCAGATAACAAAATTAATGAATAGTCAGCAGCTTAAAAATGCCCGTACGGATACCCAGAAGGCTAAACCTGAAAAGGCACTTCTGTACTCTACACACCAGGCTTGATGACAGAAACATAAGTCTTGATACCGACTCCACTGAAGGAACAATATCATAATTTAAGCCACATCCTTAGGAACTGACCCATCTTGCAAAACAACACATTAAAAATTTTAGATGCTCCAACAAACTGAGTAAAAAACTATTATTAATAAAAATAAAGATAAAAAGAAAAATTTAACAAGAAATAAAGAAATGTATTAATATTAAACCTCCTTCAGTTTTCTCCCACTAATGAACTTATTAACCCACTAAATATTTTCAGTTTCTGCGGCTGAAATTCCTATAGGATTTTACCAGTTTATGTGGGAAAAACTAATATACTACTATAAAAACTAATTTAGTTTTTAAAACAAATTCTAAATTACATCATATTACATGTTGAATAATAATGTCTAACTAACATAAGAATAGCTATTTATACTGTAGCATACTCCTAACACTGTACCTTTAGAATGTTTTTTGTTTAATCTAACCCATGTAACTTCAGAGACTTGCTACTGTACCTCTACCTTTAGTTCCGGAGCCTGAATAATCTTTTTGATATATTGTTCTACAACTTCTAATCGCCTATCTTTCCTGTCTCTTCAGAACAGTGTGTATTCACTAATGTTGCATCCATCACCATTGTTTCAAGCAGTTTCTTTACTACAATTAGAAAATTAGAAAAACAATCAGAAAGTTTCCCATTAACTGTCTAATCATATTTTTATGTAGCGCTACCTTAGCAGGAGAGGGCAGATTTTATAATCAGTATAAATATAGTATATACTGTATGTAGCTGCCTAGACCTGACCTATCCAAGTTAAGAAAATGTTTTATCAAAGGATTGTTACCAGAAGATGGAACAAGTACAACAGCAAGATTATCAATATGAGGGAAAATTAATACTTTCTTTTCTGTCTTGAAAACAGTTACTTTGCACTTCAAAAACTACCAGATTTAAATACTACCAGTATCTACAAATCTTTTTTGCACAGATTTTGCAGATCTGTTGCTCATTTTATTGTTTATGATCTAGAAGAACCACTGATAAAACTGATTTAAAACATTACTCTGCTTCTATTTTGGATTCGTGATTTTTTTGTTTTTTTTACTCTTGCTGACGTGGCCACAGTTACACCACTGCTTGCTTAACATCTACCATCTAATTTGCTAATAACACTGCTGTTTTGGAAAAAGTTACCCACTAAATCCTATTTCGGAAACTAATTTTAAAACACAACTCTAATGCTAGTTTGGATTTTGAATCTCATTTTGTTTTATTGCTGTTGGCAACTATGAATCTGTTACTGCCTCAATATTTACCATACAATTTTCAAACATATTGAAAATCTTACCATCTCCATGCCACTGAGGAAACTGCTTCTAATACTTTTTTTCTGCATTTTTTCTTTCAGGAATTCACAGTAAATGACTTATTTAAACCATCCTTTCACTAATATTTTGAGTTTAAGAACATTCTTTAATGTAGACATTTTGGAAACAATTACAGTATTTGCTGCTTAAAAGTTATTATTAAGGAGCCCTTTTTACAGGCTGCATTATACAGTATATGACTACCTTTGTCTAAATCTTTCTAAACCAGAAATGTATGAACTGGGATTGTCCCACACTCCTTGCTTTTTGATTTGAAATGAGTCTACAGGGTGAATGGGATTCTAAAGCTCTGGTTATACTTTACTGACTTTTGGCGCAGCTGATATTTATGGTATAAGGAGACGACGTCATAAACGCAGAAACCAAAATTGTGGTATGAATCTCTCAAATTGTGTCCTCTTTGTTGAGCTGACTACTATAATTCAAAAACTAGGGAAACCACAAATTCTAGCCCTAACATACTTACAGGCCAGCTGAATGTAAGAGCTATGTCTGGTAAGTCATTGTTACTAAATGACTTATTTTCCAAAAAACGTATTGTTTTGTCTTACCAAGTTTATGAACATGGTCAGTTTGACACCACTTACAGTGGGTAAAATGTAAAAATAAAAATTTAAGAATATATTTGTATTGCCAGATAACATTGTTGAGTTGTTTACTGCTCTCAGTAAAGTCATAAATACAGAAGCTCCAGTTCAGACTCATTACACTTTAACTTCATTTTCATGGACATCTCTAGACATCATTCTCCATGGTTTAAGGATGACCCCAAAGCCCTCAGACATAAAGGTTAAGTTGGAGCAGCAATTTTGGTCAAAAGCTCATAAATAAGTAAGACAAGACTACTTTAATTTAATTTGAAATGGGATAAATCAAACTGCTCCTTTGAAATTATTTTTTCTCTGAAAAAAATAGTTAAATTTGAACTCAGTCATCTTCTGTTGTTTAGGATTTTTCTCCCACTTATAACCCAATTTCAATTTCTGTTTACCCTGCAAATACTGTAGTTCAGCTCTCAAGACTTTCGAAAATGTGACTGTCTG